AAACCAAAAAACTTGATGGTGCATTCCAGTAACAAGCTGCATATTCTAGTGCTCCTCACCGGGGCTTGGACCTGGATTTCATAGGTTAAGCATTGACAAACTTATGTGCCAAAAAATTTATCTCTCTCTCCCCATCCCTAATTTTTTTTTTTTTTAAATTAGTAACTCGAAACCTAATAACACAGTCAGTAGATAAATAGCAAATGTAAAATGTGTTAAACTAAAAGTGTTTATGCCTTTTTAAAAAAATCAATTTCTCGACAAGGTTAAAAGAAATTATTTTGAAATATCTTCTAGAATTGATCAATTATAAACGATTATTGGAATTTAAAATAGCATTGTTGTGCTTCTCTTTAATTTATGACTGAGTTGAAATGTGCAATAAAAATATTATTATTTTTGTTTGTTCATATTGAATTAATTTTTATTTTTAATTTTATTTTGTAATTAAATCTTGGATCTTAACATACTTCTCATAGGTGAACTAAGGAATTTTTTGTGTGAAATATGCACCTAATTTAGTCATTATTAATGGAGATGCAAAGTTTTTTTTAATACAAGATGATTATATTTTTTATTTATTGTTTTGCCCCCATTAAGATAGAATCCTAACTCCACTCCTACAAAAACACACACGCACAGCATGCACACACACAAACACACACACCCACACCCACACACATCAATTAATTTTGAGAAAGCTTATGATCATGTCGATTGTAGTTTTTGGAACTTTGTGATGGGCAAAAAAGGTTGGAAGATGGATAACCAAAATCTTAATTTAGGGATTAAAGCTTTGTGAGCCAATATAGGAAGCTTACATAATTCCTGAGAATGCATTGACAATCTACTATTTCTATGTTTTTTGATTATCTATGTTTTGTTCTTTATTGGATAGGAATGGAAGGAGAAATTCCAACTAACTATACAAGTATGGATACAGATGGTAATACTTGTGAGAAGGAAGTTGATAATGCAATCAATGTAAAAGAAAAATTAGAAGAGCTAAAATTGGGAATGGTGTTTAATACAATTGACGAAATAATGTAGCATTACATAAGATATGGTAATGGCCTAGGGTTTCCCATAGAAAGAAGATCATCGTCAAAGGGAGATGATGGAGAGCTAAAATACGTGACATTTGCATGTTCTCGCTCAAGAAAGTCAAAGTCTACATCAAGAAATACCTTACAAATGCATCCAATCACCAAAACTGACTGTAAAGTTAAGTTGAGAGCAACTATATGTCCCGATGGCAAGTGGCGAGTGACTTCCATCATGCTTGCACATAAACATAGGTTGAGTCCAATCAAATCTTGTTTCTATCGATGCAACAATATAATAAGACCATACATCAAAAGAAGACTTGAAAGGAATGACAGAGCTGGAATTCGGATTAACAAGAACTTTAATTCTATTATGGTTGAAACGGGTGGGCATGAGAATGTTCCCTTTTTGGAGAAAGATTGTAGAAATTTTATTGACAAAGTAAGGCGGTGCGACTTGGGGAAGGAGATATTGTTGCGATTCACAACTATTTCCTAAAAATGCAAGGTGATAATTCAAACTTTTTTTACATGATGGATTTGGATGATGAGAGTCGTTTAAGAAATGTATTTTGGGCAGATTCTAGGAGTAGAACAACATATGAGGAGTTTGGTGATGTCATTACATTTGACACCACATATTTAACGAATAAGTATGACATGCCATTTGCTTCTTTTGTCGGGGCAATCACCATGGTCAATCGACTTTATTAGGATGTGGATTAGTATCAAGCAAAAATGTAGAAACGTTTACTTGGTTATTTCAATCTTGGGTTTCTTGCATGTCTAGTCGTACTCCAAATGCAATAATTACCAACCAAGACAAGGCAATGCAAAAGGCAATTGAGATTATTTTTCCCAATACACGCCACAGGTGGTGTTTGTGGCATATAATGAAGAAGTTGCCAGAAAAGTTGAGAGGTTATAAACAGTATGAGTCAATCAAGTTTGCATTGCAGAGTGTTGTATATGACTGTTTGACCAATGAAGAATTTGAAGAACGGTGGAATAAAATGATTGAGAAATATAATCTTGAAAAAATGAGGGGTTGTTTGGATTGTATGATGAGAGGCATCGATGGGTGCCAGCATTTGTGAAAGATACTTTTTGGGCAGGAATGTCTACCACATAACGCAGTGAGAGCATGCATGAATTTTTTGATGGATATGTCAATTCCAAAACTACATTAAAATAATTTGTTGAACAGTATGAAAATGCATTGCGAAGCAAGGTGAAAAATGAAAACCAAGAAGAGTTCAACTCCTATAATTCATGGATTCCTTGTGTAACTCATTATGCAATTGAGAAGCAGTTTCAAGATGCTTATACTACTGCAAAATTTAAAGAGTTTCAACATGAATTGACAGGGAAGATATATTGTGAATTGTCTTCGATTAAAGATAATGATTCCTTTTCAGAACATCTTGGGAAGACGTGATTCAGCGTAGCATTACTCCTGGGTGGTTTTCTTCTTTGGCAGAAAAGAAAGAAAGGGAAGGACAAATACTAGAGGACGAAAGCGAGAGAGAGAGAGAGAGGGAAAGGTGGGTATTGATGGTGGAAGTGGGAAAGTGGAAAAGTTTTTAACTCAAATATTAATAAAATATTAATCTTTTTATTAAATGACAATGATAGCTTATTTGGAATGTTGACTAGGTTGTCATGTCATTTGATCCCTAATTTTGGTCAGTCTGGCATTGCTCTAACTAATATATATTCTTCGTATTAGAGCCTAGTGTCTGTTGGTGTTGTCCCATAAGAAATTGTCTATTGAACTTCGGGGACATAAGAAATTGTCCTTTTGTTTTTTTATTCATGTCTTGGTTCTCACTCAACGTAGAAATTGATAAGAGTTTAGAATGTTGTTAAATTATTTAAAATTTTGGATTTATTTAAAATTTTGAATTATGTTGGCTTATAGTTAGGCTTAGGCTTGGACTTGGGCGAGTACAGGGAAAGTGGGGACGGGTTCGAGAATTATAAATATATCTGCGGACGGAAATGGAAATAAAAATTATACCCGTTAACAAAGGTGGACCAAAAATAGACAAAATTTTTTTAAACAAGTACAAGGATGGAGATTATACCCTCGCCCCGCTTCACTCAATTGACATTCCTATTAAGAACTTCTTTGGCGGGGGGGGGGGGTATATCATTTGCTTTTCATTAAATTTCATCGACTTTTGCTATTCTACCAAAGCGGGGAGCTTGAACAAACTCATTAATGGGCAAGAAATTGTTGATAACATACGTTAAAAAGCCTATGGACTCAACACACCAGCCCTTTTGATATTTCATTTAAGTGCAATGGTATATAAACTTTAAAAAATTGATTTGATGAGATGACTATTATATTTATCATTGATTTAATTGTGGGTCACAGTAATTATTAAAATTCACTATTTATTCAATGATATGGATTAATCAAATTAAATTTTTAAAGTTAGTTTTTTTAAAATCTATTTAGCATTTTTTTTCATTTAAGAAATCTCAATAGATAGTTCAAATAGTAACAAAAATAAGTTGTAAACGCATACGTCATAAATTCAAAATTTGTCAACCCTTTAAGATCAGGTGACGAGAAATTTATTCTTTATCAATATTTTTTTTAAAATGTAAAAGACATGTTTTTGACAAGACAATATGATTTAGACACCCGCACCATTGAAAAAAAAAAGATATTTCATTTAAGGGGCAACGGTTTGATACAAGTCTTTTAGAGCTTATCATTTCACCTCAGACATGAAAATATTTAGCTTGCTTTTTAACATATACAGGAGTAGTAAACAACAACCTGGTGACCCATTCAAAAAGATTTCATATACATCTATATATGGAGAAATATATTTAACTTGATGAACATCCCCCCCCCCCCCCCCCAAAAAAAAAAAAAAAAAAGCACACACAAGAACTGGAGATGGGTGGCAGCTACTAATGAAAATTACCATTAAATCGAAACATTAATTAAATGCTTTTTGAACTGTTTACAGACATTAATGACGAATTTATTTTTTTGAGGTCAGACTTGAGTTGTATGCAATTAATTAAGATTCTCTCAATGTTATGTTTATCAAATTATTTACTAAATTTTGTATTCTAAATCAAAGTGATTGTATTATTTTTTATTCTAAACATTCTAAAGTAATGTTACTGCATATGATCTAAAAAATTAATTTAATTTGTTGAACCAATGATGTGACGGTGACATAATTTAATAGTGCTATTCTGACTATAATTGTTAGATTTCTTTAAAATACAATCTATTACTTGACACATTATTATGTCAATAAGATATTAATAACATTACTCTTACTCAACAATGATACATGAACTTTAAAAATAAATTTGATAATTATAACTATTGATTTTTATAGTAAACCCTAATTTTTATTAGGATCTATTATTTATTCAATAATTGTGATTATCAAATCTATTTTTTTTTTTTTTTTGAGTCCACTTAACATTAATTAAACCATCTCCGCTACTTACAAGTACAAAGTTACAGTCTTACAGAGAAAAAGTTGGAATTTCACCATAAAAATTAGCACTCTAAGCTATAAATCATGGCGGTAGAACAAGCACAAACAGGTTTGACTGTCTGTCACATGCATGTATGGAAACCATGGTGGAGAATTAAAGTGATTCTAACAACCACAGCAGAACTTAATTTTCCTTTATTAAGCCTTTTCTTGTTAGTTGCTTCCAGGCTTTTTCTTGCTTAGTTGCGTTGCTACCAGTTCTCCCTCTCTCTCATGGTATGATGGTAGTGCAAACCGGCCATTTATGAGGGTCTCAACCAACTAAATTCACCACCCCAAAAAACCTGTATAAAACCACACTATCCCCCTCATTCACAGCTGAAGCACGCCGTCGCAAACGCACATACACACTCTCTCTCTCTCTCTTTCTCTTTCTCTTTCTTTCTCTCCCTCTCTCTCTCTCTCTCTCTCTCTCACACACACACACACACACAGACGAGTGTCTGAGAAGTGCCCACATTGTCTCCATGGCTAGACTGGCTAGTCCTCCTTCAGTCTTTTTCACCATTTTTGCTGTTGCCATGGTGTTCATTGGAACAGTTGCTCCACAAGCTGAAGGCGCCAGAGCTTTCTATGTGTTCGGCGACTCACTGGTGGATAACGGCAACAACAACTATTTATTCACCTCCGCACGAGCCGACTCTCCGCCTTACGGCATCGATTATCCGAGTCACCGACCCACCGGCCGATTCTCCAATGGCTACAACATCCCTGACCTTATCAGTAAGTTTTTTCCGTTTTGCCTTGTTTCTGAGGTCACTTATCATTTTTGGGTACATGAAATTTGAGTTCATAATCTGTTTTCCTAGGCCAACAGATTGGCGCTGAGTCCACATTGGCATACTTGAACCCTCAGCTCACCGGACAAAAACTACTTGTCGGTGCAAACTTTGCTTCCGCTGGAATAGGAATCCTGAATGACACCGGGATTCAATTTGTAAGTCCGATCGAGCCACATGTACATTGCCCTATATTTGAGTCATCTTCAGTAAGCTAGATATGTCCAGCTTCCTCACCCAAGAACTCCTTTTTTGACTTCTTCGAAAGAACCAGATATTGGAATGGTTTGGTCTTTTGGCAAAAGGGTAGTTTTTTACTTTTTTTGTGTTATGGTGAACTCCCTATGAGATCAGATATAACCACGTACATTTTCTCAATTCGAGTTTTATTCCTTATAAAAACAAAGTTTAATTGATCTACTTGTAAATTACGTATATCTAAAATTTGTGTCGTAATTATGAGTTTAAAAACTGAACAATTTCTCCTTACCAAAAAAGGTTGTGGTAGCCAGATTGCAAGTTGAATATTTATTCTCTTGTTGCCCAGAATCCAGATTGAAGCCTAACTATGATTCTTTTTGTTTTTCTTATGTTTTTATGATTCTTTTTGTTTTCTTATGTTTTTTTTTATTCTAAACTTACTTTTGATAGGCAAACATCATAAGAATCTACAGGCAATTGGAGTTGTTCCAAGAGTACCAAAGACGCGTGAGTGCGCTTATTGGAATAGAGCAGACAAAGCGGCTGGTGAACAAAGGGCTGGTCCTGATCACACTTGGTGGCAACGACTACGTCAACAACTACTTCTTGACGCCAATAACGGCAAGAAGACTTCAGTATTCTCTCCCTGAGTTTACACGTCTTCTCATCACTGAGTATCGGAAGATTTTAATGGTATTTTTTCATATATAAGAGCCTGATCTGTTAGTACTAATGAATTAGATCCTCAGCAGAAGTAACCTTATTGGTTTACAAAAGCATGTTTGGTCGGTAAGGAGATGACCCTTTTGTTGATCTCTCAAACATATTAAAATCCTTCACAAAGATGCATGGGCTTATGGGGTCACCTGTTTTACTTAGCTAAAACACCCTTTTTAGGCCATGTTAGGGAGATTTATCTCTCTTAAATACTTTAATTTTGTTTTGAATAATCTATTTTTGATCGAATTAGAAAGCGAGTAATTAATTGTAAACTGGTTTAAACATCCAGGGAAAAAAAAAACTACTTAAGAACTCCTGAATACGCCTTAACATGGAAGGCAACAGGCCGGGCCAGATAGATAACGGGTGGTGCCCACCCGTTGACCAGGAAAGCCTCCCCAATAAAAAATGGTCCATGGCTTTTTCCTTGTGTCAGTTTTAATAGGCCCATGGGGGATCTGATATGCCCATAAATAGCAATTTTTTTTTTTTTTAACGATCCATAAATAGCAATTGATGGCCCTATTTTTTTCACAACTTTTAATTTACGATTTTGAATTTTGACTGACCAATGGGCCTTGCTTGGGCCGGCCTATCGAATGTAACTGTCTAAACATAGGTTCAGATTGACTTAGGCTAATTGGACTTAATAATTTCCGGAAAGAAAACAAAAAAGGCTCGATTTTATGCGGGTCTGTTGTTGCTTTTCTAACTGTACGAGGCAATGCAGAGGCTGTATGATTTGGGAGCCCGGCGGGTCCTGGTGACTGGAACCGGACCATTGGGTTGTGTTCCGGCAGAGCTAGCCGTAAGAAGCACAAATGGGCAATGTGCAGAGGAGCCCCAGCAAGCTGCAGCACTATTCAACCCACGCCTCGTCCAGATGATTCAGAGTCTTAATCAAGAGCTGGGTTCAGATGTTTTCGTCGCTGTTAATGCAGTGGAAATGCAGAATAACTTCATTGACAATCCACAAGCATTTGGTCTGTTTCTTATAACTAAGCTTTTTGGTTACTTCTGTCGATCATTTGACACACACAACAAATGTCCACTGCATATGTATGATGCTAGGCTTCTCGGTGGATCAGATTTCAATTGAAATCTGCTTTGAATTTGAATCTAGTTAGTTAGATATCTATAGGTTTTTTGGACTGATTGTCGAAAATCAAATTTGAATTCGTTTATATTTCACGAGTTTGAATTGGAATATATTGATGTGATTTTAATCTAATGCGAACATCAGCATACGATCAAATTGAGTTAATATTAGATGAAACATATTCATTTATTTAAAATTCAGTTATCATGGAGCTATTTAGATTAGATTTATTGATCGGATTTTCTTTTAATGGATTCACGATTTTGGGTTCAGATGGATCGAATTCTAATCTGCACCTAAGCCACTAACACAACTATACAATACTATGATAATTTAATTACAATTTACATGCATATATGCAAGCCAAAAAAGTAGCTATAATCACTTTTATTTTATTTTTTTCCCTTTTTTTGGCTGGAACAGGTTTTGTTACATCAAAGGTAGCATGCTGTGGACAAGGACCTTACAACGGGGTAGGAACTTGCACTGCTGTATCCAATCTTTGCCCGAACAGAGACATATACGCCTTTTGGGACCCCTTCCATCCTACAGAACGGGCAAATAAGATTATTGTCCAAACGATCATGACAGGGTCCGACAAATATATGTATCCAATGAACCTAAGCACCATCATGGCCATGGACTCCCAGACCTAGCCCCATAGATGAACTACTTAGATACAAATACATATGTGTGTTCTAGTCTAAAATTTCCTTCTGGTAGTTCTTTTGTTTCTGTTATCTGTCTCCAGACTGACTGCCTACATGCACCTTGGTCATTTCAGAGTTTGAAGGTATGGTGAGTAGGCCTGAGCAAACACAAAAGGGTTTGAAAACAGATTGTTTTTGGCAGATTGTGGTATGTAATGAGTGAACCATTGGGTTAATTAAGTATATCTGTATGTGTGTTATATAAAGTTCATATCTCCTTTTTAGTTCAGTTCTAATGGATGCTTAGTCCACCGTGAAAATAGCGACCCGTGTGAGTTGGTTAAGGGGTCAAACAAACGAGTAAGTATTGGGTGCAACGATAACTTCACGTTATCATTGTCATGTGATGTCCCCAACTATTTATAAAATAACAAACATGATTAGTAAATCCTGCTATTTTAAAATGACAGACGTAGATATTAGTAGTTAGTAAAACAATGGAGTTCACTAAGTCCACTTGATATTCTATTACTGGTTGGTGGCACCACATTGTCAATGTCACGTAGTGTTGCCGTTACATCCAATATTTTTCCAAATGTGGGCCGACGTGTGAACATGCATGCCTTGCGTCTCTCTAGCCGCTTAAAATTAGGCCTAACAAATGCAAGTGGTTTGCAGGTCATTGTGTGCATGCAAGATTTATAATACACCAATAGACGTATGCTTAAGACGAATATCTGTTATAAAAAAAAATAAAATTGGTTTTATATAAGAGATCTAATTTAAATGATTCCATGAAATTACTAGTGTCTCAGGAGGGAAATAAGATGAGAATAGACACTGAATAAGAGAAAATATTATACGTAACGGTGATATCACATCATCACTATTATGTAGTATCAAAATTTAATAAAAAATTAATAAGTGGATAAAATGAATCTCACTCTAATAACTACAAATAACCACCACATCTTAGGGGTGGTTTAAGGTAATTTGAGGTCTGAAGCGGTAATACTAAATGAGATTTTTTTTATTTTTAATATTATTTTTAAAAAACAAAATTTATTTTTAATTTTTTTTAAGTGAGAGGAAAATGTGATACTTTTTTTTTTGTTAAGAGAGAGAGAGAGAGAGAATAGATATGAGTAAATATAAGTTGACTTGTAAATTTTTTTGTATTTGTTTTTTAAATTTTTTATTTTTAAATTTCTAATATTATGAATTGAATTGTAGGCCCAATTTATTAAAATTATAATTTTTTGATTGAGCTTAAATTTTTTGGGGCCTTTTTGTAAGGCTTAAAATTTTCATAGATTTAAATTTTTTATGTAGACTAATTATGTATCAAAATTATGAGACCTTTTAAAAATTTAAGACCTAAAGCTCATATTTTTTTTTTTTTTAATACTCTTGGATTGGCCTGCCACATCTAATCATCAATACATTCGATTAGTGAAACTTGACTTTATATACTTGTTTTTTTATTGGATTACGACACTAGCCACATGACGATGATAGTATGATGTCACCGTTACAATAAATATTTACTCCAAAGTATAGGGAGTGATGCTATAATTAACCCTTCAAATTATATATTGTCGGGAAACCCAACATGATTAAGGATAAGTAAAAGTTGATAACTTTTTTTCTTCTTTTTCTTGAGCTATGCCCAAAGGGGTTTGGTGGCTAGGCTTTGTCATGAAGTTAGTCATCTTTTTCTTGTGTTTGTTGGCGACAATCATCCTTTTCCGGAACTTAATCCTTTCCCAACTTAATTGACAAGTATAAAAATGATGTAATGAACGACACATTAACAAACAAACAACTTCTGGTTTTGGTGAAACTTATCATCACACTACCAATTTTCATTTTTGCAAGCATAAATAATTGAAAGTCTGCATCGTGTTATCTGATCAGAAATTAGGACAGTCATATGAAAAAATAATATTAAACCTCCAACAGACATTTTCAAATAAAGTATTTGGTCAAGCGTAGGACTATGGTGTCCCTAACTTATTTTTCGTTATTTATACCGAAATTATTGGTAATTAAGGTTAAAGATGTAACTCAATATGGTGATGTTACTACAAAGTAGGTTCAATCCCAATATTTAGGATTGATCCTACCATGTTAAAATAGGATCAATCTTAGGATGGTATGATCGATTCCAATTATTTTTATTGTGATTTAACCCCTACTTAATCGTCACTTGACCTAAATGAATTATAATTAACTCCTATTTATCTATAATTTCAGGTGTCATAACTCATTTAGTACTGTAATTGGACCCTTTGATCAGTATCACTGCTTGCTGGTTGTCCTTGGCATTGCCCTCTAGAGGCTATAGATGAGAGTATCCGGCCTTGGGGGCTTAAGGGACCATGAAAGAATAAGGCGTTCGTTATGGATGGGGCATCAATGGAATATTCACAAGATTATGGTAAAGAAATCGCAAAAAATAATAGGATAGCAAAGTAAACCAAAAGGCCACCGACAAGTCCAATCCAATCATTTTACAACAGAGCCTCATGCAGATAGCCGTAAATTGAATGAAAATCACTAACTGCGAAATAAGTATATTTCCTCAATTTACTTCAATCTGGTCCATTTGTCATGAATTCAAAAGAACGAGGGTTAACCATGCATAAACGTACGGTACAATGTGAATGATTTTGAGAAAAATATTGGTGATTATTTGATGAATCTATTTAAAATCGTCAAATAAATTTATTAAAACACGTCTTATTTTATATTATAGATGTTCCCAAATCTTTAGGGGTTGTTTAATGGTTAAGTTTGATATTTGATAATCTAAAAATTTTCAGTACAATTTTTCTTATATTTTTTAAGAGCTAATCACCCTTGTTCCTTTATGAACTAAAGGGACATGTTTTAACGTAGTTCAAATTACGATGGTCGACCACTGAACTTGATAAAGTAATTGACATAACCTTAAACACCCTGCAATAAAAAAAAAAAAAAAGAAATGGAAGCTCTATTTATAAACTCATTGATACATGATTAGGGACCATACTAAAACGATTATGTATATTGAACTAACAATCTAAGTGTACCTGGCAATCCACTTGTTCGTAATAAAATTTTTTGAAAAAGGTTATTGTTGATCTTAATGATAGTCTATTTTGCACAATAATAATGTTATTTAGATATAATTTATTGACATAATTCATCATAGTTATTGGATTGATTGTGGGTGTCAACAAATTTCGAGTTTTAGTGTCTATCCAATAGTAATGAATTATTAAGTTAATAAATTAAATTGATAAATTATGTTAGAGTTCAATTGTTTTTTTCACAGTATAAAAAAGATTTCTAATTATTGCATGACAAACACACATATTGTTTATTCGATATTGTGATAATGAATACAGGCAGGCAACTACGCTAATTAATTGGGCTTGGGAAGACGTGTGTGGACTACATATTTGTATGTCCAAGAGGACGAAATGGGAGAGAAATAAGAAGTCTGCTATTAATGGTGTACAATTGGCAACCACAAATAAAAAGAAAAAGAAAAATAAAGAGGAGGATGTTATGCTTTTAAATAGAAAACTGTATGGTTGGCTAACTAATGTGATAAATAAATGAAAATCACATGAAGATACTTCCAAAGAGTTTTAAGTTTCCTAACATCTCTCCTCATTTTATACTATTTAAGGCAAAATAGGATTGAATTAATGACACTGTAACTTGCTATTAAATTGGCAAAATGGGTTTGAACCTCACCTTATTCGCTCTTGTAACAGTTTCAAATAATTAAAAAAAAAAGACAAAAAATTTGAAGCGTTGGGTCAGATAATTTCGCATAATCAAGTAACGAGAATCAATATAATTTCTATTTTTTGGAAGAAATTACATTACAACTCTTTATGGTTTCTAATTATTTTGGAAAAAAAAATCCAAATGATTTTTCCTATTATATTGTGCTCCCTTTTAGTTTGATTCCATTGGTCAATAATGAGTTTGACCAATGAAAATTCCTAGCATTATCTATATATTTTAACAATTCCATTTTACCCTTGTTAAACGTGACATTAAAAAAAACAAATATGTTTTAATATAAACAAGGAAAAAACCAATAATCTACTTTATTTTTGAGTCAAAATCACCACCAAAACCAAAACGATGAAACCTTAGCAATCCCATATGTGTTTTCTTCCCTACGATCCCAATATCATCCTTCTCCTTCACCCCACACTTGAGACCTAGAACCCTTTTTTGCCTCAATCAACAATGACATCTTCTTTTCAACCAACACATAATTCCCTCATACCTCACTTCCCCCATCCTTGCTATCTCCAACTGATCAATCCCATAACAAAATCCCTTAACTAATCAACACCTATTTTGTATAAGTTTATGTGTATAGCGAGAGATAACAATGAGAATGGTGGCAATGAGAAAAAATAAGAGAATGTGTTCTAAGTGGTGTTTGAAATAGGAGTCAACATAATAGAAGCTCGACATTATCTCTATTTATCTTTATTGGGTTACAAGAATTCTTCTTAGCTGAAAAGAAAAAGAATATGGAGGATTATATCAAGGGACAATTATAATTTTTATTTAAAAAAATTTTCTACAAATAATTGTTGAGTTGGTTTCTTGATATTTGGTGGAAGATAGAAATCTAATTGGGGTAAAAAATATTATAAAAACTATGATGGTATTCTTTCAATATAATAAAAATATAAGCGGAGTAAGTGTAATTTCCTTTTCTTTTCACTTATTTTTTGGGTAAAATTAAAAGATAGCATCACTTTAAAGTCATCACTTCGAAGCCATAATGTTTCACAAATACTGTAAAGGCACACAACAATGGTACGTATGTAAATTACGACTGGTAAATTTCCAACTTCCACAAACCACGCACAGATCCTCCAATCCTCCATCGATCTAGCAAAGCATTCTCCATTTTCTCTCTCCTCTCTCTTTCTTCACACTCATCTCTATAACCTCATTAAACTTAACCCAACTTTATTCCTAAGCCACCCGCAGATCTGACCCTCACTCCACCAGATCCAAACGCACAGACACCCTAATTCCACAATGGAGGAGGCGTTGGAGTTGGCACGGGCCAAGGACACGAAGGAGAGAATGGCGGGCGTGGAGAGACTCCACCAACTTCTAGAATCTTCTAGGAAGACTCTATCTTCGGCGGAGGTCACCTCGCTTGTCGATGTCTGCTTGGATCTGTTGAAAGACAACAATTTTAGGGTTTCTCAGGGGGCACTTCAAGCGCTCGCCTCCGCCGCCGTTCTATCCGGCGATCACTTGAAGCTTCACTTCAATGCCTTGGTTCCGGCAGTCGTTGAAAGGTTGGGTGATGCCAAACAGCCCGTTCGCGATGCGGCTAGGCGACTTTTCCTCACTCTCATGGAGGTACATATGCTTACTCACTCTCTGTATAATTATCATTCTATTTTTTTTTTTTGGCTGAAATTGCGGGTAATCTTTAGATTGTGTTTGGTTGCATCAACTGGAATAGGTTTAGAATATATCGTTATGTGGAGTTTGAACACCATCCTCTGGCTGTAATTTTTATTTTTACAATTGGGGTTAATGGGATTGAAGCTGACGTCGCAAAATGGGAGTATGGAATCAATGCCTTAAAATTGAATAGAACTAATAACTCATTTTAGATATTGAAAAATCTCGATTAGATTTTGAAGTTTTGTGGGCTTCAATTCCAGTTTCAAGGCATGGATTCTGTGCTTTCAACACAAGATTAAGCTTTACCGGAGCGTAAAACTGCAAAAGTTTGGACTTGCAATTGAACCCTCCGATTCAAATTGGATTCCTTGGGGCAGACATTTGCTGAGATGGTTAGCTTTTACTTTCTTTACCCATACCTTCAATCTCTTTGAGGAGTGAACCTTCCCTAAGTTGATAGAAACAAAAAAGTGTGAACCTTAGTGTTAGGATTCGTGAAATTTAATGCGCATTTGGAGCTCATTTTCTCACTTGCCTCTCACCAACAAGGCTGGATTTTACTTTTAGAAGAACTGTTTACTGTGCTATACTACCTGAATGACATGGTGGAAAAATGGATGACACTGTTATAGCTGGGGGCTTGAGTCCAGTACTTGGATGGAGTGGGTTAGTTGATTTGACACCTCTCTTGATTTAATTATCTATTTGTTTCTGACATCCACTTTCTCCACTGCCAATGGCAACAAGAAGAGCTAATAACCCAGGCTCCACAATTGCCGATTAATTATTTTCTAGACTGATTATATACTTATTGAAGCTTGGGTGACAGCTTCCCGCATCTTAATCAAGGTTTCGTATTTCTTCTTGCTTAGTTCTGGTAATCCTTAAGATGAAAAAGTTCTCCTTAGTTTGCCTTACTACTGGTACATTTGATTTGAGTTTTCACCTTTTTGTGGATATTATTGCTCTTGTTCTGTTTGATATTCTGCTTTACTTGTTTAGATCAATGTGTTTATAGATTGTGTCTTTATTTAGTTGATATTTTTGGGAAGATCCAGGAATACAAACAAGAAATTGGTTAATTAATGATTACATATCGTGCAGATTTCTTCACCAACAATCATCGTTGAAAGAGCAGGGTCTTATGCCTGGTCACACAAGAGCTGGAGAGTTCGAGAAGAGTTTGCACGGACTGTCACATCAGCAATTGGCCTTTTTGCATCTACAGAGCTCCCTCTTCAACGAGCTATTCTTCCTCCTGTATGTTATTCAAGTATAATATATGTAAAACATAGAATTCTTATATGTTGTTATTTTTTTATCTTATTTTGGCAAGTAGTTATTAATAAACTTAATATTTTCTTGCATTATCAGATTTTGCAGATGTTAAACGACTCAAAACCTGATGTTAGGGATGCAGCTATATCGTGCATTGAGGTAAATGAAAAACCCATGATGCATAAATCTTTCCTGGCATTGTTCAAGGCTTCTTCTTCACGTTGTTTGGTAGATGAGGAACTATTTCCTTCTTTTGAAAATAGGACTTATGAACTTTGTGCATTATGTATCCTAGACAATCAGAGCTTTTCAATCATGTGGTCTTTTGAGTTGTAATCAAGATTGTTTTTATTGCTGATGAGACTCGTCATATTAATTTGGCTTTCTTGCCATTTGCAGGAGATGTATACTCAAGTTGGGCCTCAATTCCGTGATGAACTTCAGCGTCATCATCTTCCTACATCGATGGTGATTGGATAACTACATTTGTACAATTTATTCTATCATTTCCTAGCTAATACTCTCTAGTTCCTGGCTTCCTGCATATAGTGGGCTGAATTTTTTATGTTTATGCCTTCTTTACTATGGAGCATTTAATTTTTGAAGATGGGCGTTGTCTGTGCCTGACATTTCAAGCCTGATTCAGTTAACATTATTATAAGTTAAAATATCTTAGTTGATTTGATATTGAACTGCAGGTAAGGGATATTAATGCCAGATTGGAGAGGATTGAACCAAAGATTCGCTCTTCAGATGGACTTGGGAGTAATTTTCCTGCTGGTGAGGTTAAGCCTGCCAGTCTTAATCCCAAAAGAAGCAGTCCGAAGGCCAAGAGTTCCACACGTGAGGTGTCCCTATTTGGAGGTCAGGATGTAGTACTATAAAACTCAAAGTTAATGGACACTTTTATATCTGTTAACATATGCGTATGGGTTTGATGTCTACTCCGCATGAGATATCCATAATACACCTATTTTCCTCCCCTATTATTTACCCATAACTCCCTGTCCAAATGCATTCAACCACCCATAGCCAATATATGTTTATCTTTTTCGGTCTCTTCCCACTCTCATGTCTCTCTCCATATTTATCCAACTCACATCTTTACAGTCACACGGATGGCTGTGTGCACACCCTCTATTTATATTTGCGTGACAAGTTCTCCCACGTCATTTTATGTTTGGTTGTTGACCTATACATGGTTAACATGTGAGAAATTGTCAGCATGCCATTGTCTTCTGGGGTGTGTGTCAGTTTTATCAAAGTGTGCCTGTATTCATTTATATGTTTGCACCCGTGTTATTGGCTGTTCAAACTTCCAAGGTACATTTTTTGAGTCATTTCAGAATTTTGAACATTGTTCAAGTACTGCTCCTTAAAGTTCCTGTGAACTTCATTATGTTGTGATGTCGATGATACGTATTGGATATGCACCTTTCGTTTCCTACAATAAATAAAATATTTGGATACTTTGTTGATAGTTTTTAATTTAATACTTACCTTTTCCTTTCCAGTATCTATAAAGAAAAAATCCTTGTGATTTTGAAAGCACATGTGTGTTTCTTAACTATTAAGTTAAATTACACCATATCTCTTGCAACACATGCTTCGAAGTAAGTCAACTAGTTAGATGTTGGTTCTGATTCTTTTTGTTAGTCGCATTCACTTTGTGGATGTATCATATAATTAAAGGATCCATACTTTTTTAAAAGTAAAACTTTTTATCTTTTGTATTATTGTTAAAATATTTACTAATTAGGGATAACCCGTGCCTTGCAACTAAAAAAAATTGAAATTGGAATTTGAACACGAAATAGGCATTGGGTATTTGAGCGCGAAATAGGCATTAAAAATAGGCATTGGGTTCAATGTAAAAACAGAGGAATTAAAAAAACCATAACTTATTATATCTAGCATGACATATTTGTTCACCAAGTATATAGCAGCAAACAATGGGCAGTTATGAGAACTAAACAATTCCCAGCTACTCCAAAAAATTCCCAGCTAAACAGTTTCCAGCATCATAAATCTTATAGGAGGAAAGTTTGGAAGCAACAGCATTATGAATATCCTTTGATTGCATTGAAAACATAGAAATTACTCTACAACAACCAAAGAGATGTGCTTGCAGATATGTCATGCTAGATATATGTTAAAAAGTGTATCTCCACTGTTGCTTCCGAAAGCTAGATGATTACCAATCACATGGAATTGCTCATAGTTGCGAGCATAATTCCTTTAAATTCTCTACTATGCCGACTACTTCGTTGATAAAAAATTCTCACCCTTCAATTTAACCAAATCAAGAGTCACTAAACGCCCAAAAATAATTCCAACATTAAAGGTTTCCCTTAATCTTAATAAAAACCTGCTGCCCAGTTGGTTTGTGAACCAATGATGCCATCTCCTTTCTCCGCCGTATCCATTCGCACATAACCTAAAAGAAAATAAATACAAAATTAGAAGTTTTGAAAACTCAAACCAATTAATTAGTAGATAGAATAAACATTAACAATTCTCAAGAAGGGAACCAAACTGCGTTCATCCAAACGCACCCAATGCGTTACAGACCCATTAGCTAAAGACCCATAAACATTAAAGAACTTCTCTAAACTTTGAAACTTCAATACAACAGTATCAATTCCATTAACATTGCCATTAACACTATCATTTCAGGAAGAGTGTACCTCAACGACATCCTAAACGCCGCGGAAGGCCATTCATTGGGAAACTAAAACCCATGAACCTCGATATTGGAAACAGGATCAAACCCAACGAAGCTAGACTCTAAGAGGACAACATGAACAACTATCACCAATAGTTTGTGATCATGACCACCATCATCACCCAATTCTTGTGTGAACACTTTCTTGAGAAACCCAAGTACAAAAAAAGACTTCCCAACCTCCACAACAGACCCATCATCATCTACATCCATGTACTTTTGATTTTTGCCAATTTGTGAATCCAAATCCAAATCCAAACTTTCCTCTTTCTGTGTATTCAAATCTAGGGTTTTCTCGTTAAGGGTATTAAAATCCAAAATACTACCAACCTTAGCTTCAGAATCTGTGATTTGTTGTTTCAGTTGGTTTGTTAACCAATGATGCCATCTTCTTTCTCCACCGTATCCATTTGCACATAACCTAAAAGAAAATAAATACAAAATTAGAAGTTTTGAAAACTCAAACTAATTAATTAGTAGATAGAATAAACATTAACAATTCTCAAGAAGGAAACCAAACTGCATTCATCCAAACGCACCCAATGCATTCTAGGCCCATTAGCTAAAGACCCATAAACATTAAAGAACTTCCCTAAACTTTGAAAATTCAATACAACAGTATCAATTCCATTAACACTACCATTAACACTGTCATTTCAGGAAGAGTGTACCTCAACGACATCCTAATCGCCGAGGAAGGCCATTCATTGGGAAACTGAAACCCATGAACCTCTATATTGGAAACAGGATCAAACCCAACGAAGCTAGACTCTAAGAGGACCGCATGAACAACTATCACCAATAGTTTGTGATCACGACCACCATCATCACCCAATTCCTACGTGAACACTTTCCTGAGAAACCTAGGTACAGAAAAAGACTTCCCAACCTCCACAACAGACCCATCGTCATCTGCATCCATGTACTCTTGATTTTCCCCAATTTGTGAATCCAAATCCAAACTTTCCTCTTTTTGTGTATTCAAATCTAGGGTTTTCTCATTATGGGTATTAAAATTCAAAATACTACCAACCTTAGCTTTAGAATCTGTGATTTGTTGTTTTTGGGAATTGAGACTTGGAATTGGTGTTTCTTTCGAATCTTGAGGGTCATTTGATCAGGGTTCGTGGGGGTGAGTGCCGAGTCGATGTGCGTGTGTGCGCTGTGTTTTCCTTGGAGAAACAAAGAGGGAGAGAGTGAGAGAGGGGGAGATACCTAGTGCGTCGCTGGAGGTGTCCTATGGCGTTGATGGCTGGCTATTGGGGCGCCGATGGCATGGCGGTGCCGCTGGCGGTGGTGTCGCTGGAGGTGGTGTAACACAAAGTATTATGTGTTGAGAGAGGAAGGGAGGGCATGATAAGGAAGGTAGAAGAAAAGAAGGAAAAGGGAGGCGTGCAGCTGACAGGCGTGGTGCTCCTTCCGTGTGTCAGGCAGCTGTGTCGAAGGGTAGGGTAACGTTAAAAGGGATGTGATGGGTGGGATAAGATAGTTTTGGGAGGGAAAAATATGTGTAGGATAAAATTCAAACACACTTCTGTTTTATTGTATAGATAATTATAATTACCAAGTTTACTGATGATAGTAAAAAAAATGTAATATATTTTATTATAGACGTATTTTGACTATATCTGTATTTTATTTTTTTAGGTTTTGACATATTATAGCATCTGCATTGTACCAGTGCCCCATATATAAATTCGTGCTTCCTATCTGTGTGATTTAGGGTGATTGCACACATATCGAGTTTATGTTGTAGTCATAAGCCTGAAAAAGCACATGGTTGGAAGTTGGAATTGTTAGAGTATTCTAGTATAGTTGGTGTTAGGGATAGTTTAGTCGGTTTATTTATTCTATTTTGACCTACTATATAAGAGCCTCTATTGTGTATCTTTTAGGTTATTCTATTCCACCGACTAATTGTAAACAACTAAACTACCTTGTCTACCCATAATATCAAAAGTACTAGAATACTCTATTAGAAATATATAAAGAAGATAATTAGTTAAGGCGTCCAATTTATGGGCTATATATACATATATGGTCATATTTGGACCTGGTAACGGCCATGAGATCTTATGCTTTTAATAATGTGCCCTTAAAAACTAACGAAGCTTTATTAGGTTATGTTGGGTTTCAACTTCCTTAAGGTTTTTTACCTTGTTGTGTTACTCTGTGGCAACATACTGTTCTAGTCAAGTCTTGGTGCACTTGTAGCCTTATGGAAGAGCCTCACTCATAATGATAAATTTTCATTTTTGAGTTTGTGTATGCATTATCAAATTGTACTGCCTTTGTTCAGACCAATAGTTAACTTGTTTACTTTTGTATCAAATGGTACCCATGGTATGGCACACTCCTGTGATATTTTCCTTAATTTTACCTTGATGCGGGGAACTTATAATTTTTTGTGGTGGATTTTGTTGATAATTCACTAAGCAGGAGGCCAGTCTTGGTTGTTCATGGTTTTTGTAGCTTTAGTTGCCCCAAAAATGCTCATGGTGATCAGGGGATTATGTTTCTATGAAACCATCCTTTTTGATTTATGCTTGTCACAAAACTAAATGACCAACATTTATTGGATGTTTGTGTGTAAGTATTTGACTATTTTCCCTCTTATTATCGAAAGTGAAAGCACAAACTTTTAGATGGTGATTACGGGTTATGCATGTTGTATTTAAATCAGGTGGTTAATTTGCAAAACCATTTATACTCTTAGCAGCATATTTTTTAAATGATTCGTGAAGTAAAATATCATTTTTATGTAGAATTGACAAATGTAATAGATGCTTTGATAATTGGAATTGTTGTTGTTCACGTCGCTTTGCTTATTGGTGTTGTGCAGGAGAGAGTGATGTCACAGAGAAACCCGTTGACCCAATTAAAGTGTATTCGGAGAAGGAGCTAATTAGGGAATTTGAGAAGATTGCTTCAACGCTTGTACCAGATAAAGATTGGTCTATACGCATTGGAGCAATGCAGAGAATTGAAGGTCTTCTTATTGGAGGTTTGTATCACTGTCCTTGCATCTTTTTGAACTATTGGAAAGTTCACATTTTTATATTGCATGACAGGTTTATGATCTTGTGGGTCAATTTTAATGGATGTGATTATTACAATAATGTTGTGTTCATCACACATGCTAGGCCTTCTCTATGATGATTTCAGGATGTTGGAAGAATTCTATGAACTTTCAGCATATAATGTATTTTATGCTTGTTTACTAGTGGGGCAGTAGTGGTGGAGAATAAGCACATCTATAATTTGTTCTTTGGTGTTTGGATATCATCATCACAAGTTGACCTGCCCACATCATTTACTTCTGGTCTTCCGTGTTCGTGTTGTACATGGGGACAGGCGCGCAAGACAATTGAATAATTTTACAACTTTGTTTGGGTCAGTGGATTCCTGGAATCCTCTCTGAACCAAATTTTTATTTAGGAGAAGAAGACAATTACCCTCTCTGGTGTCCTTCTGTTTATTATTTCATTGCAATTATTAATCTTTGTGAGCTGTTGGGTTCTTCTGGAAGTTGTCAAAGTCATCTACTTGGCAACCATCTGTTCTTGAACAGATCAGGCACTGAACAGATCAGGCATCATGTCAGAGCTACAATGTCTTTTTCCATGTCATCAAGATCGTTCTCGTCAACAAGTTATTAATGCAGGCTACTCCAGGGTGTTTAAAATTTTTTACTAATTATCACATTTTCATATGAATAGAATGTAGAATTACCTGTTAATTAGGCTCACCGTGATCACCAAACAATTAGAAAATAAAAAACTCTTAAATGTCAGTCAAATTATTCTATGGAGAAATTATATTGGAAGCACAGATGCACTAAATTGAATTTAAGTCAAATCCCAATTCTCCAAAGATGCCAAACTGTCTAATGCACGAGTTGTAGTTATGCAAACCAATTTTTTGAATACCATAAGTGAGAGACTAGTTGGAACTTGTGCAAGAAAAATGAAGGGATGATTTGAAAGGGGTAAATAGGTATAGTGAGCATTTCATAGCTTTCAAACAACTCACATGAAGAAGAAAAGTTTTCAAAGTAGAAGAAGAAGAATGACAATGGGCAATGATAAGTGGAACGAGAGAAAGAAATGGAAAGAGAGAGAGAGAAGGTGATGAAAAACTAAAGAAGTAAAGAGCTACAAAATGGAGGACAATTGCAACCCTTTGAAGAGGCAGTACATGGAAAAAGCATGCCCTCTCGTATGTTCATACTAAGAACTGTGTCAAATGCAATATTTGGGTTAAAAAAAGATCGCCCACAGGGCTTCAGCCACTGTGAGATCTGGGAGGGTCAGTTACTTCAATAGGGATGTCATTACGAAGATAACAAAAAGGAGAATAGAGGAAGCAAGAGGGAAGAGAAGAATTGATATTGATAATGATGTCTAAGCAAAAGGATACTGAAGGCATACCCAGGTATCGAGGAGGTGAGCAGCTACTCAAAAGCTTCTTCAATTCCAGTAACTCTCGTTGACAAAGAAACCCTTTAAGGTCCAAGCATTTTGTTTCTTTCTTATTAGCAATCGTTTCATCCCATGGAGTATTGTTAGTTTGCAAATTTTCTGGGCAATTTGTTCTTTGCCATTGCTCTTTGATCCGTTGAGCTTGTTTGTAGATCACATGAAGTCAGGTACTGCTTCCCTTTTCGCAGTTTACTGCTTTCTTATCTTTACTTTACAAAAAGCTATCATGTATGTTGCATGCGACCATTTTAAGTGGATTAAACAAGCCTTACTCCGTGGTCGTTAGCACCTTTAGAGAATGAACATATTCAATGTGTCAAACCAATTCCAGAAAAAGAAAGTGCTGAAAAAAAGGTAACATAGAGGTATAGGTAAGGGTGAGAGGTATACCCACACAAACTACAGTTCAGGCATGCTAGATGCAAGGCTCTTGTGGGGTGGTCATGCACAGGGAATTAGTTGAATGGTCTAAGAGGTCCAGATACCCTCTTCGTCTGGTGAAAAAAGAAACTCACATACAAAATTTGTAGAAGCTTTAAACTCCCCCTACAGGAACTGTGTTCAAGACTATAGTGAAAGAGAAGTGAGGAAGCAATTGGAGGGACATAAGAAATGGGCAGTCACCTTGATGTCAAATTGAAGACATACTGAGAGGCGTTTCCCAGAGTTGACCAGAACTAAGTGTTTTGCAATGCAACCCAGTTTGGTGGTAAAATTAGGCAAAAGTTGGTTAATTAATGCAATTTAAAGTGGATAAATTTTCTCTTCCTGTGATTGCTTTATTTGAAAAATAGCTTTAACAGAGAGTAGTAGTGCATTCAAGCCTTGTTTTGTTGGATTAGGTTCCCAGTACACCTTGCCACCTCCCTCGCTGCATTGAAAAAATGGAAAGAAAGCAGATTGCTGAGCTAGGTAATGCATTCATATCATACACATTAATCAATTCCATGACAAGGGGTTACCAGTAAAATTAAAAAAAATTGATTAAATGGACCGACAATATGGACGGCCAGGATAGAATCGGAAGCTATTATTTGTGGGATATAGCAGAAATTAGATGATGAAGAAACGATTGACTCATTTTTTTTTGATAGGAAAACAAACTTCCATTTCATAGAAATTGAATGAGTACATGCATAGCGGATAAGAGATCCACCTAAAACCAAAAGAAATACAACATAAAATAAAATTAGCTAGATTCTGCTTTCCAATATGTTGTAAGACCGAACACAAAGAAGTGTCTCTAAAATGATTTGAAGCCACCAACTCTATCCCCACAACTCTTTATCCTCCTCCCTGCATTCAAAAATTCTACAATTCCTCTTCAACCATATCACCAACATAATAGCCATTTTTTCAGACAGGGAAATTATTATCTTTAAATTATGTTCTTCGAAATTACATTTTTGAGTCTTTCGTGGCTTTGTTGGATAAATTCTCTCTACATTGGTTATTATATCTGCTTTTAGTGCCATGATAATTGTGCTGAAGTTTTTTTGAGAGAATAATTTATTGTTCTGAGAGCTACAAGTTTTTGTTCAGCTTTACAAGTGATTTACGTCTTTGATTCTGATCTGTAATTGGTCCTTATAATGTGTGACCATTGGACAAGTGTATGTTTCCATGCCTGTTTGTGCATTTTTTCCTTTACAATTATGACAACTTCAATTTCATCTCATCAGGTGCAGCTGATTACCCATGTTTTCGTGGACTTCTTAAGCAACTTGTTGGTCCTCTAAGTACACAATTATCTGATCGAAGATCCAGCATAGTGAAGCAGGTGAAGTGCATTTTCTTGGACTTCCAATTGTCTGTTCAAAACATTTTCCCCACCTAATATGCGTTTCTTTCCTCTCTCTTTTTTTTTTTTTTTCCGTGTGGGTGGGGATTGAATTAACTAATGGTAAATCCGAACTTCTTCATTTCCTAATTTGTTGATATCCTTTTTCATTTTATTAAATAGGATGACTTGGGATTTTGTTGTTGAGAAAAATTTTGAGCGATTTGGTGCACAGAATCTTAAGCTGCGGGGATGCATTCTGGTTGATTGTTTGTGTCTTTACTTGTGTAATCCTGTTCCAAGTCTTTCTTGGTCTGGGGTCAGGATTTTTTTTTTTAATATTCAAATAAATTAATCAGTAGAGAAACTATCACACACTCGAATTGCACTGATAAAAAAACTCTTCTGAGGTTTTTCTTGTAAGAAAATTGTAAGGGAATCATTAATGATGCAAAGCTCCCTGATCAAAATCTAATAGCAGTAAGTTTGATTCTTTCTGCTACAACTTCCATCTGTTTGAAATGGCATTTTAAAATCCTTTCCTGTTTCCTTGTGCTTTTGATGAACTTGCACTCCGTGAATAGTATCTCAGTCAGAGTTTGGGGCACCTAAGTCCAGGGCTTACAGAGATGAGATAAAGCGGGATGAAGTTATGTTGGAAATGATTTCTATGCATTGAAGTCCTTTTCAAACGGAAATGTAATTTGGGTCTATATGTTGAGGGCATAAAATAGCTGCGACTAGCATTAATTTTTTGAGATTGGTTCGTCATTGAAAGAAGAAGAAATGTTATGATAAGTTTTGCTCTTCATCTCCTCCTATCCAACAATGTTGGCTACCCCAAGAAGGCCATACAAGAAAACAAGGAAACCCTAACCATCTCCAGTTTCTTCTGATTATCATGAAGTTCAGTTGATACCCCTTTTGATTGTGAAAGTTTTGAAGCAGCTTCTGGAAAGCTTTGACACAAGTTCCAGGTTAAACATATTTCCAAAATTGATTTGTTTCTATAATCCTTGTCTAATGAATCATTCCTTAATGAACAACATTCTGCTGGAAGTGCTTTGCGTCGAGTTAATGGTAGCAATATCTGTGAGAGACAAGCTTGATGTCTATTTGGAATATACTCTTTTAATGTCTCATGGAATTAGCCTCCATGTGCTTTAACTCTCAGACACCCCCCATCCCCCTGTAACCCGCTGTTTCGTCCTTATTTTTTTATTATGAAAAATGCCATTTTGGTAAAGTATGGAATAGAACAAGGGAAGACAAGGATTCCCTCTTTACAAAGAAAACCAAACACCAATGTAAGAGGAATCAAATTAAATAAAAAATGCAAGACTGTTGCCTGAAGAATCCAAGAAGATTCCTGTCAATGATATGAAATACAAAGGAGCCACTCAGGTTTTGAAGGTCTTGTAGAAGTCTCTTTGCAGTTAGGCAATTGTGACTATGTAAAGCAATTAGAAAATGCAGCGGGCATTGTTTCTGCTATTAGATTTTGGAAGCACATACATTTTTAGCGCTGAGAATTTTGAGGGATTTTCTTGGTTAATCTGACTCCCCAGACACCCTCTCACTCATTCACTCCTGTAATATTTTATTGGGTCCTAATGTGGCATTGGTTATGGCCTTATGGGCTTTAGATTTATAACCCTCTTGACTTATTGAATTGGACTATTTTGTGAACAAAGGTCACCTGATGGTGGCTTCTTTGCTTGGACAGTGCCTTTAGAAACATCTTGACCATCCGCCACTGAGCGAGAGGGTTTATCAATTGGGTAAGGGAGCAAACCTGCAGAAAGAGGTCCAATTTGACCTGAGTTATGTGCACGGGGAGGGCAAAATGTCATCACATCCTCAGTCATTGTGATACTGCTAAAAAATAGTTGAGTTCACTTTTCCCTTTATTTGATGTGGGCCGTTTCGCTCTAGTTATGCTGGGTTTTGTTGGAGACATGCTATCTGCTTGGAGAGAAGGGTTTGTCCATAGAAGTGTTTGATGGAGTTGGGATATTGACTGTTGTGTCTTGTGTGGAATGCGTGGTGGGAGGGGAATATGCCATCTTTGTGATGGTGTAGGCATCTTGGCCATCGGTGGAGTCTCTAACATCGATTCTCTATTTCTTCTGTTGAATGAAGGGGCTGCAATATCTATTGAATCTTTTACAGATTTTTGGGCTGTATGTCCTTTCTTGATTGACTTTTTGTAGTTTTTGTACTTTCTGGTGCAACTTGGCCAGACCTTTCTTTGGTACCTCTTAGTAGATTCCACTTGTGAAAATTAAATCCATGTAGGTGTTTCAATGTATTGATCAATGCACTGGCACGCATGTGTAAGTGCTGGCTGCATGCTCCAAACCCTTGGAGATACCTATCGTGCTCGTTCGTGGATGGATGCATAGCGGCTTAAGGTATAAGCATATGCTTATGATGCAAAAGTAGATTGAGCGACTAGTTGTGTTCTTTTTTTTTCTGCTTTCATTTTCCATTTATTTTGGGATGTGCCTGCAGCTCGCAGAAAGGGATCATTTGGAATCTGCAAACCAAAACATTAAATTCAATCTTGATGAAGTTAAGGTCATTTTCATATTGCTCATATGATCAACATGCATCTCCTTTTAATTGTTCTACTTTTTCCACTTTGTTAGGCTTGCCACTTGTTGAGTTTTCTGTCGAAAGAGCTTTTGGGAGATTTTGAGGCATGTGCTGAAATGTTCATTCCAGTAAGTACAAAGTATAAATTCTTATCGCTGATTGTTTGGGCCTAGTATTCTCAAAAGTTCTTCTGACTCAATTGCATGGCCTACAGGTCCTTTTCAAGCTTGTTGTGATAACTGTACTTGTAATTGCAGAGTCAGCAGATAATTGCATAAAGACAGTAATGCTCAAGTCTTTGTCTATTGGCTACTTCTTTGTCCTTTATAAATTTCTGTCCTCCATTAATAATGTGTTTGACTTCCCAGATGTTGCGTAATTGCAAAGTTGCCCGTGCACTTCCTCGTATAGCAGATTGTGCAAAAAATGACCGCAATGCTATACTTCGTGCAAGGTTATGCTCCATACTTCTTTGGGAATTATCAACTCTGTCATTTGTTCAGTCACAACAATTTTTCATTTCTCGATTGCAGGTGCTGTGAGTATGCACTTTTGATTCTAGAATATTGGGCTGATGCACCTGAAATACATCGTTCAGCTGATTTGTATGAAGACCTTATTAAATGTTGTGTTGGAGACGCAATGAGTGAGGTGTTGACATTAGAATTGTTTTTAATGACGTCAAATCAGAGCAATTTTCTGGCATTTTGACATACATGTTAATTATGATCATGATCACTCTTGCACACATGGGGCCAGAATGTGCTCATAGACAGTGTTATAGATTGGGAAGAAAATGTTGCGGATGCCAAGAGAAGATTAGAAGAAAGGATGGGAATTAAGAAGAAGTAGGAAGTAGAAGCAATATTCAATAGTTCAAACCAATATATCAAAACTCTGCCCAAAAATTCTGAAATCAATCCGGTTTATATGGAATCCCAGAACCCTAAAATTGAAGATACCTTTGTCTCTACTACCAGTATCAATATAAATCATAATTCACCAACATAAACCCAATAAGTTTCGGTTATAAAATAAGAATATCATGAATTTTTGAAACCCTATACTTCAATTTCAAGCTTAATCAGATTCCTTTTGGTTTCCCATGACAGAGTGAATATTAGTCTGTGTTCCTCCTTAGGGGGGGGGGGGGGGCTCAATTTGATGGTAATGCTCATTACCGACATTGATTCAACCACAATTTGTTTCCATTTGCGTCCTGGAAAGATTAACCTCTACTAATTGTAGCTGTGGCATCAGGAGGTACTCTTATGTCTTGTGAACAGTTAGGAAGCCATGTTTTGCGTATTCTTCTATTTCACAACTTGTTTTAATTACTTATTTGTTGAGCATGGTGGTATACAAAAGGCCAGTGGAAAAGTGGATGTTTTTTAATTGATAATATTGAGGGATAACTTGTATTTGGCTCTAATTGGATTTTGTTTTCTTTTGGGTTCCTGGTTCCTTACTAACTGTTTTTGCTGATTGTTTACCTAAAATATAATTTTTTAAAAAGTGGGTGCATTCGTGCATTCAAATCTCTAAGGCACCTTGGGACTTAAAGCTGTACCCCAAGTGTCCTAGCACAACTTTTATGACTTTGGTCATCTTGCTGCATATGATATCTTTCATTGACAAAGCATTGATTTTTGTTGTTGATTGCCATTAAGTTCTGTTTGATTTTTTGGAGTGCTGCTGAACTATTACTTTTTTGATATTGCTAGCTTTGCTCTTGAAACTATCGCCTTTGTTATTTTGTTTTTTGTTATTAATGATTAATGTAACAATGGTCACTCAGACATCAATGGCAAATGTTGCAATTCATTTCGTTTCGTTTTTTCTTTAACTTTACTCTTGGTTACTAGAGATGTTGCTAAGGTTCATTACAAATATTGGAAACATTAAATGCAACAGGTTCGATCAACTGCAAGATCTTGCTACAGAATGTTTTCAAAAACTTGGCCTGAGCGTTCGCGGCGATTGTTTTCATCTTTTGATCCCATTATTCAAAGGGTATGTTCTTTTTTCATCAAAAGACATTTCTGTCTGCCCACCCTCACCTCCTCCTCTAATACACAACACACACACAATTCTTTTTCTTAAATACACAAATCTCCACATCATTTTTGGGACCCTGATTAAGGTGGTCGTGTTTTCACAGATAATAAATGACGAGGATGGGGGTATGCATAGACGACACAATTCTCCTTCTATTCGTGAGAGGAGTTCACAAATACCATTTACCCCTCAAGCTTCTGCTCCAAATGTACCGGATATGGAACTTCAGCAATAGTTGCCATGGACAGAAGTGCAAGTTTAACATCTGGGACATCTTTTTCCTCTGGGCTACTTTTGTCACAAGCAAAGTCAGTTGGTAAAGGTACAGAACGTAGCCTGGAAAGTGTGTTGCATGCGAGCAAACAAAAGGTTACGGCTATTGAAAGCATGCTTAGAGGTTTGGATATATCTGAGAAAAGCAGATCATCTAGTTTGGATTTAGGTATTTACATAGTTTTGTTCTATAATTTCTCCACTATATGTGTCAATTCCATTTATTGGTCTTTGAAGTCAATTTCTGCTGCGATGTTGAAATAATGTCTGATTTCTCAGTGAGTTAAACTTGAAAATTATCTTGTTATATTTTGTGATTGGTTAAATTTACTCTTATTGCCCCTAGTGCAGGAGTTGACCCGCCATCATCTCGTGATCCACCTTTCCCTCTTGCTGTTCCTGCTTCAAATAATCTCACAAACTCTTTATTGTTAGATACAACTACATCTGATATTTCTAAAGGTAATAGCCGTGATGGTGGATTGATTTTGTCTGATATCATCACTCAGATTCAGGCTTCCAAAGATGTGAGTAAATTATCATATTGTGGAAATGTGGATGCTGAGCCGTTGTCAACATTCTCATCCTACTCGTCCAAGAGAGCTTCCGAAAAACTACAAGAAAGAAGGTCTATGGAAGAGAACACCGATGGTAGAGAGGCCAGGAGATCTATGACCTTGCACGTGGATAGGCAATACCTAGAAACACCATATAAAGATGCAAATTATAGGGATTCACATAATAATTTCATTCCTAATTTTCAGCGGCCACTTTTGAGAAAGAATGTAGCAGGGCGAATGTCCGCAAGCAGGAGAAGAAGCTTTGATGATAGCCAGCTATCACTGGGGGACATACAAAGCTATGTGGATGGTCCAGCATCCCTGTTTGATGCTCTAAGTGAGGGGCTCAGTCCTAGTTCTGACTGGAATGCAAGGGTTGCTGCATTTAATTATATCCGTTCTTTGTTACAGCAAGGCCCAAAAGGTATACAAGAAGTCACACAGAGCTTCGAGAAGGTCATGAAGTTATTTTTTCAGCATTTGGATGATCCCCACCATAAAGTTGCACAGGCAGCTCTCTTGACACTTGCAGATATCATCCCAGCTTGCCGTAAGCCCTTTGAAACTTATATGGAGAGGATTTTACCCCATGTTTTCTCGCGCTTGATTGATCCCAAGGAATTAGTAAGGCAACCTTGCTCAACAACGCTGGAAATTGTTAGCAAAACCTATGGCATAGATTCTCTTTTGCCAGCGTTGCTTCGTTCTCTAGATGAGCAGCGGTCGCCAAAGGCAAAATTGGCTGTCATTGAGTTTGCCATCGGTTCCTTCAACAAGCATGCACTGAATTCTGAAGGTGCTGGTAATATTGGCATCTTAAAGTTATGGCTTGCTAAATTGACACCATTGGTCCACGATAAGAATACAAAGTTGAAGGAAGCAGCTATTACGTGCATCATATCAGTTTACTCCTATTTTGATCCAACAGCAGTTCTGAATTTTATTCTTAGTTTATCAGTTGAGGAACAAAGTTCCTTGAGACGAGCCCTTAAGCAGTATACACCTCGTATAGAAGTGGATTTGATGAATTTTCTACAGAACAAGAAAGAGCGACAGCGCCCTAAGTCCTCTTATGATCCATCTGATGCTGTTGGAACTTCCTCTGAAGAAGGATATATTGGAGTGTCCAAGAAAAGCCACTTATTTGGAAGGTACTCCGCTGGTTCAATTGATAGTGATGGTGGCAGGAAGTGGAGTTCTGCCCATGAATTAACACAGATGACAGGCTTTACTGGTCAAATAGCATCTGATGAAATTCAGGAGCACTTGTCTCAGGGTCTTGAGACTGGTTCTAATACTGAGGTATTTTCATCCAAAACCAAGGATGTGAAGTATGCGGTCAATTCCTTAAATGAAAATTTATCCTGGAGTACACAGCTGGAAAATGTGGACAGCAGTGCCAACGTGGAAGCTTCTACCACACCACGTCTCAATATCAATGGACTGATAAGCTCTGACGATCGAGGGGATACTGCAGGCTTTAGTGTTAATAATGAGGCTGCACCTGAAATGGAACTTGATCATTCAAAACTTACAGCTTTGAAGATAAACTCTGCACCTGATGCAGGACCAAGCATTCCTCAAATTCTTCATATGGTATTTTCATTTCCCTCACGTCCTTCGCTGTTGAGCAACATTACTGTCAATATAATTGATTTTTTTCACAAAAGTTGTGCTGGTCAATATTTATCCACTGAGGGTTATATGAAAAAAAATGGAATAACAGGCCTAGTATTTGGGTACTTTTGTAGATTTGCAATGGGAATGATGAAAGTTCTACTGCAAGCAAACGGGGTGCACTTCAGCATTTAGTTGAGGCTTCTGTGGCTAATGATCAGTCCATGTGGAGTAAGGTATGATCAGCTTTTAAATTGCAGTCTCTCTCTCTTTCTCCTAGCATGGTGGTTATTCTTGCTGTTATTTATTGAATAGTTTTTCCTGATGTTGAGGGTGAACAAGTTCTTGATCTGTTGCTTTTATCAAGTGAAGTGATTTTAGCATTAAAAGATTCCTTCATGATTTTTTGGATCCATAAGTTAGTCAACTTTCTACTGTAGTGTGCAGTTCCCAGTGCAATTTGTTTAGTTGATGGGGAGAAGAACTTCTATGGTTGTGTAGAGTTGCAAAATACAATTTAATTGTTGGATGCATTGATGGTATTGAGTATCTGAACTGTATCTTGGAAAATGTTCCAAAAATTTGGCATTTTGACCATATAAATGCATGCGAATGATGGACATGGTATTTATCAAGGTTCAACCAAATTTAGGGAGTGAATGGCGACCATTACTTAATGGTCTTTGTTCTCATTTTTTTTTTTCATATTCTTATGATCAAATTTATCACTAAATGGCGTAGAGTTGCAATTGAAAAACTAGTGTGTTCTTTCTGGAAATTTGAATCTATAGGTTGTAGTATGACATTTTGAGGGTGGGCCCTGGCACAACGGTGTCAAGGGTTTGAGTCGCAGAGCTTGTCTGCTTGTGAGGGTAAGGCTGCGTACACCCGACTCTCTCTAGCCCGCAGTGGGGGACTCGTGCACTGTGCCGCCCTTTAGGTTGTAGTATGACATTTTTCCCAAATGAGCAATGAGTGAAGGCATCATATGTTCAGCAAGACACGGCTGAATTTTGAAGCGTTGTTTGATCACTAAAAATTAAATTAAATTGGATCATAGTATTAATAAAAGGATCACCTCTGGTTAAAAACTGTTGTGCTTCATCGGGAAGTTGCATGTTGCTCCTGCTACCAGGTCAGTGGTTCTATTCATGAACCTACTTTTTAAGATTTTTAATCCGTTTGCTGTGGTGTGGTTGCTCTGCAAAGGACGCTCTGGCATATGGCGGTTGGTTGTAAGGCTGGAATATTTTGCTTAATAGCCATCCGCCAGACTGTTTATTGTAGGAAGACAAAGACAGTTTTAGATTCACCTTCTGTGATTTTCCTGTGAATACTTTCAGTTCACTAGTCCACGGGTTGAGAGCACATATATCCATTTAGGAAGATGGACTACGGCACCCCGTTTAGGAAATGACTTTTGCTAAATTTGGGCGAAAATGAAATCACATCCTAGTATGATAAACACAATCAATCTAATAGCTGGTTCTATGAATGTCTTACATATGATTTCTTCTACTTGCAATCCTTCACTGGACAAAATATATGTGCTTTGATGATTTTCACATCAGTCATGCAATTTCAACCTGCTTTGCATGATCACAGTCCGTGAGTCCGAGCAAATATTGAATGGCTTTTTAGTTGATCGAAATATTACACTATCCCATTATGCCTTCATTTACTTGGTAACACCGTAAAAGGATGATTTTAGCTTAAAAAAAGTATTGTTGTTTCATATGATATTTGGTGTATTTGCAGTACTTCAATCAGATTTTGACGGTTCTACTTGAGGTGTTGGATGATTCAGATTCATCAATCCGAGAACTTGCTCTTTCATTGGTAGTTGAAATGCTGAAGAATCAGGTTTGTTTCCATCATTGGTGTGGTTTGATGTGACATGCACCTTTGCTTGTTTGGGTCTGGGGCTTTTTGTCAGTCTTGCAGTAAGTTTCTTTCGCTTCATATATGTTTCACAATATTTCTGTGATGGTTCCAGAAAGAGGCTATGGAGGATTCTGTTGAGATTGTAATTGAAAAATTACTGCATGTTACCAAGGACGTTGTTCCAAAAGTAAACTTTCTTTGTCGAATCATCTTCAATTATTATTTTGCACTTTTTCTCCATGTCTTAGGTTTTGAATTTTTTATTCAGGTTGCAAATGAATCAGAGCATTGTTTGACAGTTATTTTGTCTCAATATGATCCATTCAGATGTTTAAGTGTAAGTTTAATTTAATTTGCTTATCAGGCTACCTGTCACATGCATGTGTTTAGCTTTGGTGTCTTTGAGTTCGTGTCCCTAATTCTCTGACTTGTATTGCAGGTTATTATCCCCTTGTTGGTTACTGAAGATGAGAAGACTCTTGTTACTTGCATAAACAGTTTAACAAAGGTATTTTCTTGTGAAGACCCAACTTTTCAAGGAGTAGATCTTGGTTTTGGTGATTCTATACTTTATTCTTTGTGTGGTGGATGTTCCATTGTTATATAGGCTGTATGATATCTTTGTATTTCACTGTCCTCCTGCATTAAGTTATTTGCTGTGGTTGTGTCTAATGTATTTTATCATACACATTTGAAAAAACAAACTATAGAATCATAATTGGTGGTTCATATTTACTATTCTTGCTCCTATATTACTTTGGTCAGTTCCTTTTGTCTTGGTGTTTTTGTGACAAAATGCAGAATGCAAATCTTTTGTTATTACAACTTTAGATGATTTATGCCAAACCTCTTCGGTGTTCAGCTTGTCAGCAGGCTTTCCCAAGAGGAACTGATGGCTCAGTTACCATCATTTTTGCCCGCTCTTTTTGATGCATTTGGGAACCAGAGTGCTGATGTTCGCAAGGTAAATAATTTTTTTTTAAGTCTTGATCTGTTAATTCTTTTTTGCTGAACACGTGTGGGATCTGTCTAGTGGATGGGGATCAATCTAAAAGGTGCAATTGCCAAATTATGCAAACCAGTAACACAGCTAAAATCCTTTTTAATTAAGTAAAATATTGTTCTTGAAAATCTTAATTGAATATAAAGTGAGAGGAACGATGCTCATATTGTTCTTCTGAACTTTTTTTCTTCTCAGTTTTCTATGACAAAAAAATTGGGTCTGACCTGAAGAGGTTTCTGGCTAGGTTGTATAAGCGGTTGTTGGTGGCTTGAGTTTTGCTTCATACATTTCATTTGAGAGAAAAAAAAGGCATTCCTTTTTATGATTTAGATCGTGGTAATTTCTTGCCTCTTTGAATTGTATAATAGAGATTCTAGTGCTCAATAGCGTTAATGTTGGAAGATACATGCGAAAGAAGTCATTTCCTTTTTTGCTGTTTATTATATTCCTTATTGAATAGAGGTTTATTTGAGGTGAAGAGGTACATTCATAAAAGGTTCCTATATAATTCGGTTACTCTGACTTTAACTGGGAAACACAAACTGCAACATCATTAATACATGCTTATTCAGAGGGCAGTCAGATACAGGGACACTTCTGTTTGCATCAAAACAATGTAGATGGTAGTAGAAAAAAGATAAAAGGAACTTTGACTTGTAGTGCAAGGGAGAGGAATACTAGTTGAACAAATATTCGCGGATCTTCCTCTTCTACTACTACTTCTATTTGATGGTGCACGCAAGTAAACAAATTTATTTACATGCAAAAGGCACGAGGTTGGAATTTCACATTTGGTGACACCCTAATGTATTTGATTTACTTTAATGAGTTTGGGTGACGAAAAGGTTGTGGGGAGGGGAGCTATGTAAATGCAATCTATACAATGTCATATAGCGCAAGGCAGAATGCTGTAACTCTTTCCTTAAATATAAAAAAATAGAGCATCTATTTTTTTGACACAATTATTTTATAGATTGTTTTGTAACGCGTTTTGAATTTTTTCAAATAAAAATATCTTCATTTCCAAATTCCATTGGATTCTAGAGTAATGTACATATTTCAATGATTCCCATGTTTGTATTTCGAAAGGACAGGGATATGGATGATGAGAAATTCATTCCAATCTAATTCTTCTGAAATTTTGTAGTGGGCTTTTTACCAGAATTAGAATTATAGATGGATACTGAGGAAGACCCGACCCCTTTTTTATTTTTTGATTTGATTTTTTTCTTTCCTCTAAATACTCCTTGATTGAACCCCTTTTATCTAGTCAAATTAACATTAACGAATTTCTAGTAGTTGGATTTCAGAGCTTTGTCAAGTAGTTCTGTATTTTTGCCCTGCATTAAAAAAGGTTGAGTTCTACTATTTTTAACATTAAGTTCTTGGATGGCAGACTGTTGTTTTCTGTCTAGTGGACGTCTATATCATTCTAGGGAAAGCATTCTTGCCATACTTGGAGGGGCTTAATCCTACACAATTGCGGTTGGTGACCATTTATGCAAACCGGATATCACAAGCAAGGACTGGTACTCCAATAGATGCAAACCATGCTTAGCTGGATTTTGTGGGTTTATATTTGTGGGTGAGTTGTTTGTGATCATTCATTTGTTGTTTATCTTGTACATTGTGTGAAATGTGCATTTTTTAAGGGGTGGGTCTTCTTTGTAATTTCTTCAATATATAAGTTGTTTATTTCCTTTTTTCACTTGTTTGGTTTTGAAATGAGGAAGGATGTTTGTTGTGGCCATGACGAACTCTGCATTTTGAGAAAAATCATCCTCTTGCAATGTATGTAAGAAAGAACTCCAGATTTGGCAAATTGTGAGTGATGGAAGTAAAATGTGGGCATCATCAATCTGGTGGCTGACTGATTTATGTGGTCGAGTTTCCAGTATGGTATTGTTCTCGGCTATTTTTCATCGGTCTGATTACCTTTCTTTTCCCCCTGAATTTTGATCCTCTTGTATATTACATGTCTTCTCACTTAGGTGCTTCTTTACATGACAAAGTTCTGTGATTTACAAGGGCAAATGAAGTTGATGGAATATGGGTACTATGTAAGCAAAATAATCAGTTGTTTTTATGATCTTTCTTAGGTTAGTAGATGATCCTTTATTGTAGATTATTGGCCAATTATTTTTCTTTTTGATATAAAAATTAAAAAACAAGAAATAGCATTGGCTAATATGTTATTCTGTCAAAAGTTTCCTTTGTAGAAGGAAAGAGGCAAATCTAACCTTACTGTGCCTTCTGTTAATGTTGTGTAGCGTCACTAAACCTCGGCATGTGACCTAATAAATTGCATAGCTTGTAAAATGTCAGTCTCTAAACTTACAATTTTATCAATTTAGTCCTCAAAGTTTAGACATTGGACTAACGTGGTCTTTGCTACTAACTGTCATTAGAATCAAAGATGGGATATGGAATGTGTTATACACATCAAGTTAGTAAGTGGCATGTATGTCACTCTTCAGGATTCTGTGCATATGACACTCTTTATCTTTTATTTGAGCAGATTTAGACATCCAAGCACACATTGTGTTCCCTTATTTTTGGTACACCGATTTTCGCAAAATCCAATCACCATCACAACATGAAATCAAAATCCTAATGTAAATCACAACCCAAAAATCACAATCAAAACCATAAATTCTGTGAAAATCGAAATTAGAATCTAATGTGAAGAAGCGCAGACAACTAGAGATAGAGATGGAAGACAGGAGAGAAAGTCAGAGGTGGTATATCCAAAGAACAGTGAGATTGGTTGAAGGGTGTTCCAATGGGGTACTGATTTGGAGTGGAGGTGCGTTTGCAGTGGTGGTGAATGGAGGTTGCAATGGGTGGATTTTCGATGGAGGGTTGGGTTTCCAACTGTTGATGTTTTGTGGGGGAAGGAATTGGAGTGAATACAGTGAAGGGCTTGGGGTTGGGAGGGGAGAGAGTTGAGTTGAGTTTAGACACAGAAAAAATGATGTGCATAGCTCTGCTTGTAGTTACATGCCACACATGATGGTTTTTTCGAAATTGATTTAAACGAAAACCTATACGAGGAACTACACTGTTCCAATGTGAATTTTGAGAATTAAATTAAGAAAATTGAAACTTGATGGGCCAAAATTTACTTAGTGATAAACCTAAAGGACTATTGGTGCAATTTACCATATTGATCTCGTAAGGAATTCATTAGGCGAAAAAATCTTGAAATGGCATCATTGATGCATTTTCTTCAATCTATCATTTGCAATATGACACCCTTGTTTTAAAATCACTTGCTCATCAAGAAAGTTTTTTTTCCCTCTCAAGGGAAAAAGAAACATACACATTCTATAAGTCCAGCCTAGACACATTGATTATTGAAAATGAGTTGTGTCTAAGTGGTGTTCTGGTAATATTTATTTAATCATATCCAATTTGTTTATAATTGAGGTGGTGCCTATTTAAGATTAAACTCATACCTTGAAAATTCACGACGATTTCATATTGTGTTAGAGGTTGATCCCTTGTTATTCTCCGCATACCATAAGCAAAAGCCAAGGGATAAATTTCATAATTAGTTCCTGAACTTTGATTTTGATTTCAATTTGGTTCCTGAACTTTTAATTGTCTCAATTTAATCTCTCAATTATCAATTTAGCCTTAGTTAAGTCCTTTCGTCAATTTTCACTATTAGATCAATTGGAAACATAATCTAGTGGTGAAAATTGATCAGATCGGACTAATCTCCATTTTATCTAATGGTAAAAATAGTCGAAAAGACTTAATTGGGACGAAAATTATAGTTGAGGAACTAAATTAAAATAATTAAAAGCTTAGGGACCAAAGTGAAACCAAAATCAAAGTTTAAGAACCGATTATATTTTGTGAAATTTGGAATTAAGTCTTCCTTAAGAGACTTATAACGAATTTAGTTCAACAATAAAACTTATTTATGGATAAATCCGATTTCAATTTTACTAATAAATAGTTAAGTACACTATTTTTTTAAAACTCTAAAATATCATTTCTTGAAAGCAACTTAAATTATTATTCTTTAATTCAATGTCAATAGAGATATCCCAATAAAATATCTATGGATAATTTAAAATTTAAATTAAAATCTCTCTCTCGCCTGCTAATCATTACAGTGAGACTTTGGAGATACCAAATCACTGGAGCATGTCCTTGTTGAAGAAAGAAACCAACCTTCTAATTAAAACTTACGCCTTCTTGCATTGGAATTTATACAAATAAAAGGTATGGTCCTCGTCTTTTGTCTTGTATATTACCCACACCCCTCCACCTGTTTCGCCCCAATGTTAGAAAAGAAAGTCATCCTCTATCTCCCAACATATCCTTCTCAGCCACACACGCCAGCACCCTCCTACACCCCAACCCAACCAAGATCGAGGCACCATTCGTTAAAGCTGGATCGACTGAAAGAAGTGGTGGTTGTGAAGTGCTGCACTTGGAGATGTTACTGCTACTGCTTCTGCTTTGTTTCCGGGTCACGCCAGTTGCTATGACTCAAGTGCTGCACTTGGAGATGTTAGGATAAATAGATAGATCATGATAAACATTTCTATTTTTGGTATGCAATGGTGTAATTTAATTGAATTTTTTTTGAATATTAATCTTAGATGTTATCATTTTTTGTACCGAATGTTATTATTTTTTGTAACATATGTTACTATTTTTTTTTATTTTGAATGTTATTAGTAGTGCGTGTATTTGAACTAGCAATGTTTGAAAGATAATTAATTAGGTAGTTAATTATGATTGAATAATTGACACTAATTATATACTACTGTTTTTTTTTAAATATTACTATTTTTAGGGTTTGAATGTTCCATGTTATTATTTTTTTTGACCATGTTATTATTGTTCATGTTACTGTTTTTGTAAGTATGTTACTATTCATTTTACTGTTTTTATTAATTATGTTACTACTATTATTTTTTTCAAATATTAATATTTTTTGTTTTTGAATATTAATAATTTTTTTTTGTGTGTTGAATGATACCATTTTTTGTGTTTGAATGTTACTATTTTTTATTTTTAATGTTACTATATATATATTACGTATAAATGTCAACATCTATGAAATACTTTTGATTTTTTATTTTATTCATAATTATGATAATAAAGTCAATTATAATCACCTATATACTGTCATCTAATTTTTATTTTTTTACTCCTATTTGATTTTTAACTTTTTTGGAACTATTTTATAAAAATTTCTAAATTTTTTTGAACTCATTTATTAGTATTCCAGTTACATACAATTTTTTTATATCTTTTTAAAGAAGTAAAGTTCTATATACATTCAAATATTATGCATATGCAGTTACTAGATTTAATTTTACTGTTAAATATGTGTGATATTTTATTTTTTAGTATATAATAATATTATAATATATTCAACAAAATATAAATTAATAATTTTATATAAATAAATATATTTGACTTCTAAATTCTATACTACTGTCATTTTAGTTTTATTCTATATACCTATTTGACTTTTAAATTTTTTTAAATTCTTTTATTAATGGTATCTGATTTTTAAATTCTTTTGGACTCATTTATTCGTTGTTCACTTATATACAATTTTCTATATGTATGTCTATATTCTATTACTATATAGTCCAATATATGTTACAGTTGATTTTTTGGTATACAATAATATCATACTATTACAACACCAACAATAGTATTGTAATATAATTAGTTTTTTTTGACAAAAATATAATAAATTTATAATTTAATTAGATGTGCAAATACTCAATAATAAAAAACTTACAATAAAATTCATTATAAACAAAAGAGGAAATATTTGACGGGTCGGAAAGATATCTAAACAAATAAAATATTAGATGCTCGAAGAGGATTAGCATAGATCAATAATTAGGTCTGACAATACTTAAAATAAAAATTAATAAAAATTATTTAATTTATTATTTAATTTAATTACAAATATAATTTAAATTTTTTATGAAAAATTATTATTTAAATATATTCACATTCAACGCACCTCATATATCTTTACTAATAAGATAGGACTCATTTTGAATCTTTTTCTACTTTAAAATTTAATTTATTTGGAAAAGCATAAGAACGGCTCAGATTAAATCAACTTTTAATTCAAAGGCCCACATTTTCATCTCATTTCTTCCATTTCAATCCAATGGCTTGCAATGCATCTCAACCCAAAAAAAAAATCCCGCCCATTTTGAACCCAAACACACGCCACCCCCAATTAAACCCTCTGCCCCTCTCTCTCCCTCTCCAATCTGCCATATTGCTGCCAGATTTAAGTCCCCTATATTGCTGTACATTTTCCCCTATATTGCTATATAAAACACATAAGTCTCCTATACTGCTATGCATTTTCCCCTTAAAATTATCACATCACTCATTTCTATTACATGTTCAACCATTTAATATTTGATTAATTTATAATTTAACATAATTTTGTTAAAAAAATTTATTGAATTTCATATTTTGAGAAAAATTTGTCAATATTTTTAAAAAAATAATGGGTAAAATAAATTTTGAATGATTTAATCAAATAAATAAATGAAAGAAAAATTATTATTTAATATAGGATATAGATTTTTTAAGACTCAAATTTTTTGTTCTATCGTGCCTTCAGGCACGGGTAATGACTAGTATATATATATGAGAAAGAGAGAAATAAATAGTCATATTTTATTTATGAATATACATAAGTATGAGAGAGATAATTTTAATGTTAGTCAAACTCCTAAAATTTAAAAGTTGTCTGTTTTTAAATTTTTTTTAATTAAATATAACTACTGGAGGTATTTTGGGCAATAAAAATTAAAATGAACTTAATATTAAATATTTTTTTTTGATGAACTTATCTCCAAATAAGTTGACCAAAGGGGACCGGCCTTTAAAATACACTATTTTTTACCCAAAGCCAAATAATTGAACACTGAAAAAGCCCTAAACCATGAACAGAGAGCCCTACAGGTAAAAGGCTCATTTTAGTCTCATTTAACGCCAGTAAGGCATCAACGCCTAATAAACAATAGCACAGCATTCCTATTAAGGCCTAATACGATAATGGGCTATGTTTAGGCCCATTTAAACGCAATCTAAAGCGGTGATCGCACTATAAAACCAAGCCCATGTAACGCGCCACTGATAAACCATGTAAAAAAAGTTTTTTCTTCTCCTCTCTCTCTCTCTGCGCTTTATTTTCTGTCTTTCCACTTGCAGAACACCTGCTTTCCCCCCTCCATTCACCTAAGCTCTAACTTTCTCTCTCCACTCTCCACTCTCCACTCTCCAAACTCAGGAAACCATGTATCGTCGTTTCGCTGCCAATCTTGCTTCCAAAGCTTGTAAATACTATATTATCAAGAACGTAACAAAATTTATATCTTTGAATGTTTCTTTTATTTTCGAGTCTCACCTTTCTTTTCTTTTTTTGGGGAACTGTAGCCTGTAGGATTGCTAGGAACAGTGCTCAGTAGGTATGGATTGATGTACTCAGTTTGATCAATAATGCTTTTGTGTAATAAAGATTGATCTTTATTTTTGTGAAGTTGACATTGTATGTTCCTGTGCGTGTTTTAGGGGTTCAGATTGGTAGTAGGTTCGCTTGGATCAGAAGAAACTATGCCGTGAAAGATATAAAATTCGGTGTTGAGGCGCGAGCTTTGATGCTTAAAGGTGTTGAAGATCTCGCCGATGCAGTTAAAGCGACAATGGGGCCCAAAGTAAGTCAGCTTTCAAAATTTTTGACTGTGTTTCTGTTGTGATGGTGGTTAATGGATATATGCGTTCTTTGCGCAGTGTCTTTTGTGAAATATAACACCAAATTCTTTTGCATCGAGTTTGAAAAACTTAGTGACGAACTTGGATATAAAATAACTTGGCATCTTTTTCATGCAATATGCAGTATTTAAAGATGATGATGGCTTCTGTTCTACCTGCGTTGGTTATTGGCTAGCAAACTGGCAATTTTGGGGAAAAAGATTTGGAACATGAAAAAGGAAATCAGAGGAAACGTATCATGGTCTTGTTCCATTGTGTTAAGGAAAATGGGATAAATATTTGCATTGTTTTTGTTCTTCACAATTCTGGGACTTGGCCAAACGACAGAATAACATGCAATTCCAGATGATTTAATTTCATTTCCTTATCTACTCTCTCTTGCTGCGCAGGAGGTGGATTTGAACAGTTGGGTTAAAGGTTTTCTGTATCTTATCCAATTTGATGGGATGTTTCTTGTTTTCTCAATTTCAGTTCTCTGTTATTGCTGTTGTTTTTTTTCATCGTAGTGTATTTGTAGTTGCTTTATTTCAAATTTTATTTCTGCATTTCTTTCATGTATTCACTTCCCATGAGTTGTTTGTTATAGCATATATGTCATGAATTGTGTGATTTGATGACCATTGTTGTTCATTTTTTGTCTTAATCAAAGGGCCGCAATGTGGCTTTGGAACAGAGTTTTGGGGTCCTTAAAGTAACAAACAATGGTGTCACTGTGGGAAAGATCATTGAGTTCAAAGACAGATTCAAGAACATTGGTGCTAGCCTGGTAAAGCAGGTTGGTAATGCTACAAAGGATGTTTCAGGAGATTGTGGCCTTCTATAGCTACAATAAATGTTTTACCTGATAGTATGATGGAAAATTAGATAATGATGCCTTTGATGTGTAACTTGATTATTATGAATCATATATTCTTGGCAGTGGTGTCTTCCTAAGAATAATTACTTTGACCTCTACCATATCTCAATCAAATTAGAGGAACCTCTTGAGTACATGGTTGATGATATGAATGCATGTTTTTCATTTTTTCAGGTACCACTTATGCAACAATCCTCACTCATGCCATATGTTCAGAGGGTTGCAAGTCAGTGGCAGCTGGAATGAATGCCATGGACTTGAGGCGTGGCATCTCAATGGCTGTTGATGGCGTGGTGACAAACTTGAAAAGCAGGGCATGGATGATCAGCACATCTGAAGAAATAGCACAGGTTTGCTTTATTGAGAAATTTACTTTTGTTGGGAATTGAGGTTACTACTGTCATTTCCAGAAATGGTTTATCTATCACTGATATCATCTATATTCAAAAAGGTTGGCACAATATCAGCAAATGGGGAAAGAGAGATTGGTGAGCTTATAGCCAAGGCTATGGAGAAAGTTCACAAAGAGGGGGTTATTACCATTTCTGTAAGTGGATTTCTTCTTTATTCATCCTTGTAAGTTACCTTTAATGCTTGCGGTCTCAAATTATTCAGTTGCTGTGAGCATACCCTCTTCTTGTTTCCTTTTTCCTTTCTTCTTTCTGTTAAGGTTGGTGTAAGTATTGTCTAATGTAAGCCAATATGTTTTGTTATTAGGTATGGAAAACACATTGAGCCCAGGAAGGTGATATATAGCTGTAAGTGGCTTTCCTTTATTCTTCCTAGTAAGTCACCCTCAATGCTAGAGGTTTGGATTGCTCAATTTGGGTTTCACCCCACCCACCCACCAAAAAAAAAAAAAAACAGCTTCCCTATTCCCGGAAGCAACTCTAAATCTGTCATATAAGTGCAAAGACAATAATTATTACTTTTTCCGATTGTAATTTATGGAGTGTTGATGATATGTTTCTTACCTTTCTGATTTTTCATTTGCTGCTTTTGGTGTGCTTGTAGCCTTGCACTTACCTAGCCCTTTTTTTGGTAATAGGATTGAGCATTCTTTCTTCTTCTAATTGTACTTATATTCTTCACTAGGAAGTAGTATATATTAAGAAGGGATATAAATATCTGTCTTCCTTCTATCCTTGGGAGAAGGTTTTTTTGCAATAATGTAAAGCCACTAAGCTTCTATTTGATATGTACTTAGTTTCTATGTAAAACTGTTGCAGGATGGAAAAACCCTGTATAATTAACTGGAAGTGGTCGAAGGATGAAACTGGACAGAGGCTATATATCCCCCTACTTCATCACCAATCCAAAGAACCAAAAATGGTTAAGTATTTTTTTCCTGATAAATTGGACTATTTATTACATGCATCAACAGTTGATTTCTTATTGGTTATTGGTTGGACACTGCTTGGAACTATTTGGTGATTTTATACCCTTCCACAATGCATCAATTCAAGTTCTAAACTTCTAACAGAGTTTTTTCTGACCTTTTCTGGCCAGGAATTAGAATATCCACTTATTTTAATTCCCGAGAAGAAAATCTCAAGCTTAAATGCTGTGGTGAAAGTGCTTGAGCTGGGCACTGAAGGTAAACAATTAGCGTGGGCCAACTAATGTATCACAGGTTATGGTACTTATTTATGTAAACCAAGTTTATTGTGTCTTCTCAGAAGCAAAGGTCTTGCTGATTGTTGCTGAAGACGTGGAAAGTGAAGTCTTGGCGACTCTCATTCTCAACAAGCTTCAAGCCAGAATCAAGGTGTGTTCAAATTTTCGTATAGATCTAGGTTTTATGATCTAATTAGCTCAAGATGTCATCTACTGGGTTCAGGCACAAAACTTATACCTAGATCTCATTGAATTTAAACCTATAGGTTTGTGCCATCAAAGCCCCTGGTTTAGGAGAAAAGAGGAATGCCAACTTGGAGGACCTTGCCATCCTCACAGGACACTTGCTAGGTTCATTTGTCATTATCCTGTTGTATTGCTGCATTTTTTTGGTGTGCCTTTTTTTGTCTTTTTCAAAAGACATGTTGCTCAATGTCATTGTTTTTTTTCCCTCTGTTTCTTCCCAATCGATTGCATAGGTCATAACCAACAAGCTTGGTTTAAACCTTGAAAAAGTGGGACCAAAAATGCTTGGCACATGCAAAGAGGTGTGTACCATGAAGTTTTTTGCACAGTTATGTAGTAATTTTTTGTTTTACTTTTTTCTGATTGTGGGAAGTTGGGGCTTGTCTCCATTCCATTCTTTATCTGACTGCTTATTTTACACCAGGCAGGCTGGTTATGGAAATTGGAAATGATTCAGAATAAAATCCATTGATTTCTGCTTGTTGACTTTGTGTTGATTTGTGCATTGTGGATGTATAGGTTACGGTACTGTTATCCTTGTTGGGGCTGGTGCAAGAAAGCCATTGAAGAAAGATGTGAGCAAGTCTGTACCATCATTCTCTCACACTGTTTCTCTCAAGAAATCCATATGACGTCTCAGGCTTCCATTGTGTTCATACCTAATTTGACATATGGCTTACCATTGTGTGTTCTCAGTTATGATCAGCAACTGAATTGAGCACTTCTGAATATGACAAGGAAAACCTTCAAGAGAGACTAGCAAAGCTCTCTGGTGGTGTTGCTGTCTTGAAGGTCAGCCTTCCATTGGAAGATAACGTTGTCATTTTTGTTCCTGGGAACCAGACAATGCCAACATTCAAACAATAGTATTTTCCCTGCAAAAAGGACAATGGCAAAAGCTCGTCTAGCCCAAGGAAATTTTACACAATTTTTGCAAATTTGCAATAGAATTAAATGGTACACGACATTTTTTAAAAAAAAAACGACGATGGAAGCCTGTTGTTTGTCAGATTGGAGGAGCCAGTGAAGCTGAGGTTGTTGAGAAGAAAGTAGGGTTATGGGTGCTATAAATGCCACGGCAACTGTAGATGAAGGCATTGTACTAGGTAACTTCATCTCCTAATGTAAAGTTTGCACTATTTTTCTTTCACGAACATAATCCAATGAACATTTTGAGCAGGTGGTTGTGTTGCTCTTCTTTATGCCTCAAAAGAGCTGAAGAAGCTGTATGCTGCTAACTTTGATCAAAAGATTGGTGTTACCATAAATCCATAATGCTCTCAAGGTTTCAACCAGTTACTTATATGCTTTGCTGTCTAACTTTATGCTTAATGCTACATCTTTAGCTTCTATTTCTGGCTCTTTGTGAACGCTGCATGATTGGTTGTTGTTGGATTTGCAGATATTCTTTTTTTGGTCAGAGTAAACTGATAAGTATTGAACATATGTACTAGAATTATTGGGAGTAAAAAAGATGCACAAATTGAGTGCAGAGCCCCATATATATAGTCAAATAAGAGTGCAACTGACCAGAACATTCCGTTGGTTTGGGTAAGACAAAAAAACCATAGTAAGTGCAAAATAGGTAAAAAGCTAAAAACATCCTAACAACTAGGCTATAACTCTAACGGCTTGTTTGGATGAATTTTGGGGAGGGGTTTGGATTAGCTTCTTCACATCCTTTCAAACCAAAACTTCTATTTATATAGATGAGATTTAACATTTAATCCAATTCATACGAATCATACTCATGTTTGGTATGCAACACATACACATGTATGACCCACAAATATATCATAATTATTAACAATTATTTGTCCTGTAAATGATTATTTTACCCTTGATCAATATAATTCATACTCACGTTAAGGGGTACAATTATTTTTTGTACCCCCATCTTTTCCACTTTTTTCCTAGGTTTGACGAAATTCATGATCATGAGTTTAATCATGGCGCCAACTACGGGTCGGGTTTGTAAACCGGGATTGAATTTTGAATTTAAATATGGGATTTGAGGGTCCTTTTGACTACTTTTCCCAAACCCATTTTGTCAAAACAGTCCCTAAAACTAAACAGTCCCTAAAACTCCCCTTAAGCTAAGCGCAAAGATGTTAATTAAGCAAGATTTAGGAAGCACAAATACTTCCCACAGGGGTATCGTGTCAGTGTTGAATATGTGTTCGACACGGACACGGCCAGGACACAACCTGGCACATGTCCGACACGGTTAGAAGTGTCCTGAACAGTGAACTCAGTTGTATATGGCTAGGACCTAGCCAAGATATGTCTAGGACATGGATATGACACAATTATGATATGTCTAGGATATAGCCAGGATACGTTAAGGACATGGTCAGGATACGCATCGAATACGGTCAAGAATTTTTTATTAAAAAAAATAACTTTTAACTATTAAAAAGAATATGATTTTTACTTTTTTTAATATATTTTTTATTATGTAACTTATATACTATGAATGCTAATAGATGCAATGATGTTTCATAAAAATGGTGGACATTTAATTTGATCTATTTCAATTTTAATCAAAAAAATAATATTTGTTATGTCTTATTATTAATATTGTTATAATATATGCTTTATATTTAATATATTAAAACTCCATTATTATTTAAATATATTATATTATTTTAATAGTCGTATTCTTGTCGTACCTGCGTCTTATATTTTTTAACATTATTATATCTCCGTGTCCGTATCATATCGGATATGACACTCGCGTCCATATCCGTGCATCCTAGGCCAAGATAGTACAACCTATCTCTCTCTTGTCTTGCAAATAACAAGAATCAGATAAAAACACTACTATACAATGAAAATCTCTGGTTAACTGAGGTACAAATAATAGAATTATGACTAGTTTTGGCGCATGAAAAACAGAATGTAATGTAAAGCCATCTGGAAGTCGGATTGTACCCCTACTAATAATAGGGGCATATGTTTCATCTGTTAACTGAACCTGTGTGTATAACTGTTCATTGAAAATAGTGAAGTGATGGGTCTCACTTGTCATGTGACCATTCGCACTCGAGTCTAGCATCCAAAGAGGAGAAGGATCGATACGGGAATGTAAGACACGAGATATACCTGAGTAATCACAGCAGTAGTAGTAGGACCTCGAGAAGTTATAGCAGATATAAACATATCCAATCTAGAAGTGATAGTATCCATATTACTCTGCTAAAGAGGAGCAATAGAAGCAAGGCAGCAACAATAGATGGTGGTCCCGCAACCATGGTTCAAGGTTGTTATATCAGCCATCAATTCGGAAAGCTTTGAGACACATCGGTCGCGGTGTTATGACGTGATATCGGGCGATGTGGCGTGTCAAGTTAAGAGAATTAATATAACACAATATTAGAGGCAATATTAGGGAGAAAGAGAGAGGTTAGAAAACTTAACCTAGCTCTCATACATAACTTGTATTTATAGTTAACTTACAATAATAATAATAACACATACATCCCTTTTACTATTAACAATTTACACATGCTACTACTCTATCATTCTTAACACTCTCCCTCAAGTTGGACTATATATATCATATAATTCAAGTTTGGAACAAATAGTTGTAAGACGCGTACGACTCAATGCTTTGGTAAACATATCTGTAAGCTGATCTTCAAATTTCACAAATGGAGTTGTAATCTCTCCGGCTACTATCTTGTCCTGAATAAAGTGACAGTCAACCTCAATATGTTTAGTTCTTTCATGAAACACAGGATTGACAGCGATATGGATAGCTGCCTGGTTGTCACAGAACAACTGTAAAGAAAGTTGAACTGAAAAATCAATTTCCTGGAGGAAGTGTAGTAGCCAAGTCAACTCACTTATTGTATGTGCCATTGCCCTATACTCAGCCTCAACACTAGATCTTGCTACCACATGTTGTTTCTTACTTTTTCATGAGACAACATTACCTCCTAGGAAAGTACAATAACCAGTGGTTGATCTCCGATCAGAAGGAGATCCAGCCCAATCAGCATCTGAGAAACCTTCCACTCTAAGATGTCCATTAGCTTGATATAACAGTCCAAGTCCTGGAGTTCGTTTGAGATATCGCAGAATACGAGTAACTGCCTCCCAATGTGGTACTCTAGGACATCCCATGAACTGACTTACTATACTGACTGCATAGGAAATATCCGGTCGAGTAATAGTGAGATAATTAAGTTTCCCAACCAATCTGCGATACCGACCCGAATTTTCAAATAATACACCATCATCCATCAATAATTTCTGATTCGAATCCATAGGGACATCAATCGGTCTACCACCCAGCAAACCTGCTTCCTCGAGCATGTCAAGTACATATTTTCTCTGAGATAAACAAATACCCTGTTTAGATCGAGCCACCTCAATACCCAAGAAATACCTAAATTTTTTCAAATCCTTAGTATGAAATCGATCCTGTAAAAATAATTTTAACTTGGCAATCCCCTCAGAATCATTTCCAGTAATCACAATATCATCGACATAGACCACCAATAGGACATACCCAACATCTGTCTGCTTATGAAACACAAAATGATCTGTTTGACATCGAAGAAGACCAAACTCTAAAACTGCATCTGAAAACTTACCAAACCATGCCCTCGGTGACTGCTTTAAACCATACAAAGATTTTTTTAACCGACAAATACTCTTACCAGACTCCCCCTGAGCAGTAAACCCAGGTGGCTGCTCCATGCAGACCTCTTCAACCAAATCACCATGTAAGAAGGCATTCTTGACATCTAACTGAAACAAGGGCCAGTCAAGATTAGCAGCCAAAGAAATCAAGATACGAATAGAGGAAATTTTAGCAACAGGAGAAAAAATCTCCTCATAATCAACACCATAAGTCTGAGTAAAGCCCTTTGCAACAAGTCGGGCTTTGAGACGCTCTACAGAACCATCTGGATGAAATTTAACAGCATACACCCAACGACATCCAACAGTTTGTTTACCAGAGAGTAAAGGGACGAGATCCCAAGTTCCATTATGATGTAAGGGATCCACCTTCTCCTCCATAGCTTTCCTCCAACCCGGATTAGATAATGCATTCTGTAAATGCTTAGGAATAGATATAGCATATAATTGGGAAGTAAAACAGGAGAAGACAGGTGACAAGGCATCATATGAAACAAAATGAGAAATAGGATGATTAGTAACACCTGAACGAGTACCTTTGCGAAGAGCAATAGGTAAAGAATCTAAATTACCTGATGTTCCTGGATCAGAAGGCGACAAGGAAGATGGTACGGGTACTTCAGTCAATGGGTGAGGACGGCGAGAATAGACACGGAGAGGTAAAGTAGGTGGTAACACAGTGGGCAACGGAATATCTGATGGTGGTATAGAAGAGGAGCCAAAGTCCAGATCCAAAGGCTGAGAGGGTGCTGGAAAGTATGGAACAGATTCTTCAAATGTGACATCCACACTAGTAAAATATCGGTGCAGAGAAGGACTGTAGCAACGATACCCCTTCTGTGTGCGAGAGTAACCAAGAAAAACACATTTGGTAGCCCGAGGATCAAGTTTGTCAAATCCAGGACCCAAATTGTGAATATAACAGACACAACCAAAAACCTTAGGAGAAAGGGAAAATAAGAGCTTACTAGGAAACAAAATA